ATAGAGTTCTAACTTTTACAACAAGGATTGTCAGAATTGTGTGTTCATTAGGATTATCATATAATGTTTACAACCTCAAAGATTCTCTTTAGACATAGACAATGTGGATAATTTGTAGATCTTCTTGTAAAATCTAGAAATTAATGAAGTGAGCCATCAAATCGTCTATTGTGGCTATCATTAGCGAAGTAGAAATATGACAACTTTGTGACTCTCCAACAACTCTCACATGATATAGATGAACTAAATAGAAGTGTGACACATCTTATAATGTTTTACCTTTAGGTATGTTAATAATTATAAGTTAATAGTTACATCTATATATTAATATCTTATATATAAATACTAATTAATAGGTAAAAAATATAACTGTATGTGTTACTAACTCATTATGATATTCATAATATTTTATTATTTAAGTCTTAATATATATTATTTCATTTATTTTATTTATATTATAATACTAACTCCACTTGACTTTTATGAAGTCAAATAGTGATTCTCTTATATTTTCTTAATAATTATTTGATTGTAAAAACTTAAGTGAACTCTTATTATCAAATGAAAGTAATAGAAGAAGCCCAAGTCTTCAATATAAGAAAAAGCTAATGTCTTATGAAGAGGACTTACTTAATATATTTATGGGCCCAAGAGAAGATGTCGTCTTGACCTAGTTTATTTGAACTTAAAAGGACTATCAAGAGAGTAGATATAAATCGCCCATAATAGGACACCTTAATATAATATTAAAAGTAAGATTAAAATGTTACCCTCATAAAAAAATCTGGGTCATTCACTAAAAGAGTCAGTTATTAATCATAACTATCTATTAGAGGAACTTAATTCTATAGAGGTTTAAGACACCTTGCCCCTCTCTTGAAGAGCGCTTTTTGGCTCGCTCTCTAGTAGTAGAGAAGAGATTACTTGAAGTGCATCAAAATTGTCATAGATCAAGTACCACTTGCCTTAGGGCCAACATAACGAGATTTATGTAAGATCTAGATTTGAGCATTCTTGTAGATCTGCACAACATAGTATGTGGAAGATAGATTAACTCTTAGTTCGAATTAGTTTTATCACTTATTCTATTATTTGATTGCATTAGATTTATTCTCTCCCCTTTGTCACACTTTTCATTTATCTTGTCTTTATCCTTGTTAGATTAATTCAATTTTTTACAATCTCAAGTATAAATATATGTATATATAAGAAATAAAATAAGTAAAATTTTTACTCTTATTACTCAAGCTCTCTGAAAATCGACCCTTACTTATCCTAAATAGAAGAGTGAGGTTTTATAAATATTATTTATATGAACTTGATTACATCATAATGACATATATAACCTCTAAATTGAATTCATCGATCTACATAATAAAAAGAGACTCTTCATCACATTTGATATACTTTCAAGAAGTAGTGACTCATCTCCCAAAAAATCATTCTCTTCTCGATGATAGTATATTTGTTGATCAATCAAAGATAATTTACTTAATAAATTCTTAATATTTTTATCTAAAATTATTCAAAAATTTAATAATGATGCTTCACAAATTGTGTTAGTGATATTTTTAACAACAATTGAGTAATTATGATAACTTAATTATTCACTAGAAATATATAAGAAAATTAAGATTTAATTAGAAAAAATACAAGTTTTTAGTTTTGATAAGATTCAAACTCTTATTAGTCTCTTACTTGCATGAGAGAGAGTGATATAAGTACATGAATACCTTTATAAAGTGATGTCATAAGAATATATCTTTCTCATAAATAAAAGGTATTTTAGATAGTAAAATTATTAAAAACTTCTAGAGAGGTTGTGATTACTAATTTAGTTCAACATCAGTTATATGTTGAATTTTGAGGTGGATATATAATAATATGAGATTTTATAATTAATGTGTCCCTTTCTTACATGTGTATGATTGCTCCTTGCCCTATGCTTAGCTTGCCACTAGTGACATGGAAGGAGAGTGACACACATGTCCCCTAATAATTCTTCTTTAGTCACTCTAGCCCTTGCTTGTGACTCCACTTGATTATGTTTGTCACCTACTTGTGAGCATTGGTATGTTCCTCTCTTATTCTATCTTTTTATTTTATTTTTATAAAAATTATATAAATAACTAAAAATTTAAATAAATTAAAAATCACTTTTCATAATTTGACATAAATATAAGTTTATTTATTATGAGTTAAGGTTAAAAATATATAATTAATTAATTATTTAACTTATGATAATAAAAACATTAATTTTCATGACACACTTGTCAACAATGAATTAACTATTATAATACTCTTCATCAACTTAGTTCGGTGATTAAATAACTCAAAAATTACAACCAACACTCACACTATTAAGCTATAAAGTATTTAGGTTGTGAGAAAAAGTAAGATTTTATGAAAGCACAAGAAGTTGGTAATAGTATTTGAATTGAGAAAAGGTACTATTTAAAAGAATAATTAATACTAGAGGAAAGTTTTCTCTATTATTAGAAGTAGACAAATGATGAGAAAATTAGTATAATAGTTATATACTTTTTGGTGAGAGTATGCTAAATTTCTTTTTTACTATAAATATTGTGTCACAATTGTGTTGATGCATGAACTTCATTTGTTCATATATTATTAGTTGTGAACACATAGAGAAACATATATAAGTGATCAATGTAGAACTGAAAATTCTATAAAATTTCCAAAAATCCCAATTCACCCCTTAGCTGTTACAAACTTGTTCTAATTATAATTTCTTGAACTTGAGCCTATCTTTGAATTGTAATTTGTTGAATAAGACTTTACCCACTTGAATATAAAACATTTAACCCACAATTGATAGAAAATATTTTGACATCGTCATTTGATTGAAAATAAATACTCTAATTGGTATGGTGGGTGAGTTTTTTAGTCAATAAATTAAAAGATGACAAATTAACATGTATCGAACTGAATTAACATTAATATCAAGCAAGTAAATGTATTGAGTTAAGGTTCCTCAATGTGCTCCTCCTTTCTCTTGTCATTGTGAAATTATTAATCTTCAGTAAAATAATAAATTAAACTAATCTATGGATAATAAAGAAAATAAGAGAGAAGAGAGAGTCAAGAGAAGAATGACTCTATCTATTTCAAAAAATGAACAATGGATTAGGAAAACTATACAAAATCTGATATGGAAATAATAAGATTATGAATCGTAATGAGATTTAAGATCAATTTAGAAATTGAAACTCAAAACCAATTAAAAATCAAGGATTTAAATCCACTTTGACACTAAGGACGAGTTGGACGAAAAAATTCAAAATGTGACCTGAATTATTTGATTTTCATTGCATGAATCAGTTTAGAAATAAAAATAAAGTTAATAAGAACTTGAAAACATCAAGAAATCAGACAGAAAAAGGATTGAAATGAGGGTTGGGAGATGAGCTAAACCTTAAATTAAAAATCTTGGAAGTAAATCATTTCTATAATTCGTTCACTTGTAACCCAAATGAATCAAATAAATGAATTCAAAAAATTATAAATTATATTTTTATCTAGAAGAACACAAGATTGGTGAAAATATTAAAGAATATCCCATCTATCTCCTAACAAAAAAGAAGGAAAATAACCTCTTGTTGGTCCTAAATTAGAAATATTTGTTATCTCATTGGATCGAAAATCCATTACATGTAGTGAGGAATCTAAAAAATCATTTGATTTCAGTGAGAAAGGGCTTATGCTTCTTTGTCCATTTTTCTACTTAATTTTTCTGTTCATTTCCAGTCATCTACACCTATTTTTAGATGTTGTCACCAATTTCCACCCATTTTCTGAATTATTTTAATTTAATTAAATAAACTGATACAATGGGCCTTATGGGCTTCCTTACTGAGCTCATATTCCCTTATAAATTAACACATATTCTTAAAATGTTCTGAAAAATCATCAAAACATATTTTGAAAATTATTTTAAAAAATAAATTTCAAAAATTAAACTATGATTCTAAACCTAATAGTGATAGACATAAATGTAAAAATATCAAGTATATTAAGATATAATCATGAAATATTTAACATGTTATAAAAGTAGATTAAGTATGTATTCACTCACTTAATTTAAAGTATGATTTACTTGATTTCTCATTAAATCTTAGATCATTTAACATGAATTAATGAACTAAAGATATTAATTAGGCTACTTACAACATGAAATAGATGTGTTATCACACCCCCTAACTTAACTCATTACTAGTCCCTTAGCAATGGAAATAAAAAATAATTTAGGACTAATAGTTGTTAAGTAAATAATAATAATAATATTTCAATATATGAAGAATTTCATAAATTACTTTGCTCAAACATGCATTGAGGAAACATGTCTTCCTATTTCATCTTTTCTCAAATCTCCTTAAATGGAAGAAAGAGAAGCTCGAGAAGGAATACAAAAAAAACCTAATTCACTTGCTGTTGCATCCATGGTACTTAATGGTTATAACATTGGCTGGCAAATTGAGTAACACAACAAGGTTCAAGGATGAAATTTTATCTCTATTGTTCAAAAATTCAATATGTCATTTAAAATTCAACATTTCTTTTTTTTCTATACAATCAATATTTATAACCAGCAAAAATCAGTCATTAAGTGGTTGAAAGTTTCTACCTATCGTAGATGTCCTTGGTTGACACGTACATTATACAATTTATTTATGAATCATTTTTAAATAATATATTTAATATTAGTTAAACTGTTTATATGCCTAATGACTATTGGAAACTGGGTCAACAACAAGTGTCAACGGGTTAGGTAAACTTGGAATCTTCAAGGCTACTGTCCTAGGACATAGCTCCTAATTAAAAACTATTTTATTTTGGCAGTTTGGAACCCGACCCCGCGGGGTTCCACCGGAAAGTTAAACCAGTTCTTCATTCCCTCTCTCTCTCTCTCTCTCTCTCTCTCGTATACCATTGACGAGGCATTTTCTCCGGCGGGCTCCGAGACATCCGATCGCAAGGGGATGGCCGGAGTCTCCATTCTGCCTGCCGTGGTCGCCACCGTTGGCAGGCCCGTGGCATGGGGGAGGAAGGCAGCGGCGAGGGGATCGCGGAGGACGCCGCCGCCGGTGAAGACGATCGTGGCGAGGACGAGGGTGATCGACGGCGCGACCAAGGAGATGAACGCGATCGCCTCCCGCGACCTAGATTTCGCCCCCGGCCGGCGGTACGTCCGCGACGCCTTCTCCGGGGCCCAGCAGCGCCTCGATCACTTCCTCTTCAAGGTACGAGCAACACTAGTAGCCGGAAAGTGCGGAAGGAAGATTTGGTAAATAAAGTAATCCCGAGCCCCCATTGGATCCTACGTTGCAGCCACCATCCCTCGACTGAATTCCGTGGTCATTTTTGTTTCTTCAATCTGATGGAGACTTTTTGATCTTCCGATCAGTGACATCGGTAAAATCTCGCCGGGGAGGTCCTTTTTTTTGGTCTGATTACGGAGGGGATTCCTGTGCCCAAGCAGTCGAAAGGATGCGGCCCGATCGTAGTTGCTCCCTGTTTATCTCGCCTTGTAGATGTTCATCAAACGACTCTAAGCTGTTTCGATTGGTCCCTTGCAGATGGCTCCGACAGGACTCCAGATGGAAGAGGTGAAAATAGCTCTCCCTTTTCTATTTAAATTCAAAAATGTGAAAGGAAAGGTTAATGTCAACGTAGCTTTTCTTTACACTTGCGAGTGTTCGATTTTGCAGAGATACGAAATGAACTCCAAAGGATTAGATATATTCTGGAAAAGCTGGCTTCCAAGGCCAGGGATCCCCATCAAGGGGACCCTCTTCTTCTGCCATGGCTATGGTGACACCTGCACTTTCTTTTTCGAAGGTCTGTCCTAGTCTAGAACCCAAACCGATGTATCACTAAGGAATTCATAATAAGAAGAAATATACATAGGCATTCATTAAATGATCCATGGTAATTCATTTTCTTGCGATTTTTGTTCACAGGGATTGCCAAGATGATTGCTAATGAAGGTTATGCAGTTTATGCTATGGATTATCCTGGCTTTGGCCTTTCTGATGGGCTGCATGGATACATCCCCAACTTTGACGAACTGGTGGATCACGTCATTGAGCAGTATACACGTATCAGAGGTGTGATACCATCTTAAGTCAGAAACCTATTTAAGTGTACATGATAAATGCACTAAATCAATTATACAGATTCCATCACACAGAAATTGAAGACGTTCCTGAGTTGTAGACGTCGTGAAAAACCACAAAAAATGCTTAGATGACTTTAGATTGGTGTTAATTTATGCTCTGAGCTTAATCTAGGTGTTAATTTTAATGATGTATTATAGCCACAATTTGAAGGAGGCATACAATATCCAGAGATTCAGGTCAAACCGGATGATACTTCTCACTAATGTCATAAGGGTATGTAAATAAGGATAAAACCATAGGTTAGTTATTCTGATATCTGCATATAAACAGCTGTGTAAGTCTTCATAGGAAGTTAAAGAAGTGCAGGGCTATCTCAAAAAGATTAGTTTCTCCAAGTCCTATAAATTGTACTTCCTCTCCTTCGTTTAGTCAAGAGCTCAGCAAAGTACCTTGACAAGCCTTTAGCACTCCCTTTGAATTTTTCCCCTTTTTTTTCTGTTTCCTCCTCGTTGTCTTTGTTCACTTAAATCTAGGCATCTACAAAGAAATCTTACTACTTCAGTGGCCACCAATGTCAGTGTGCCCATCAATAAATGGCATGTCTTGTTAGAGAGAAAATGTTGCTTCCAGTTTCATGTCTTGATGTGGATGGGTGTTCAACAACATTTAACATTTACCACACATCAATTTTCTGTGTTTGGAAATAATTAAGTCTTTTGAAGCTCATAAGCTATAAGGTGGCTATTGGGCTTCAGATGAAAGAGGGAAGAGGCAGACCCAGGAGCTACTTGCCGATTTTGCCTAAGCGGGGCAACATCTCAAATTATAGTATCTTTTTGTGAATCTATTTTGGACTGTAAATTCGATGCAGATGACTTGTAGGAGTTACCATGAAAGAGATTTTAAGTGTTGGAAAAAGAAGTATTTATGCTTGTTATTAATCAGCCGTGACACATTTGTCTCTTCAAATGGAATTGTGGTTGACCTTCATAAAGTCAAAGCCAAAATGGATTAGTTTGGGTGATAGATCTCTAGTTGAGAACCAAAAACACAGTTCTTGTAGGGTGATAGATCTTTTCATGTTTCTCCCTTTGGTAAAAAGTCCAACTCTCCTATTGCCAACCCTTTTTTCTCATTAGTTGCCTTTCTTCTCCTTCGTTTCCTTTGCCAATGTTACTTCCATTTATCTTTCCGTTGCAATCCTTTCTAACCAAACCGACATGGAAGCAGAAGTCAGGAGCTACCATATGCAAAATTGGTGCCTGCAGGCTCACTGCCAATATAGAGGAGATACCAGCTTTTTGCCAAATGTTGATATGCTGTCCACTGCCCACTGTCTTAAGATCTCACAGACACTAAGGGATGCTTTTGTTTACTGTTAACCTTTCTGCTCTCCTCTCAATTCATTGTTTAGCATCACTATAGTGGTACCCTAAATAACAGTCCATTTTTTTTTAGAACATATGAAACCACCAATGAATTCGAAATGAAATATTGATTTTCTTTGCCTTTTTTTGCATAATCATTTTGAGGCCAACACTTCCAACTCAACGATTTCCATAACCAAAGAAAATTGCTAGGGAAAATCTGCCAAAAAAGGATAAAAGTTAAGAGTTTCTAGTCTTTTTTTGACAGCATGCTTTCTAAATTAATGTATTCTAAAATAATTGCTATTCCATGCAGAAAATAAATAAACATCGTCTTTATGGTTGACCTGTGCTAGATGGTATATAAGAGGTTAGGTTATCTATTGTGTACCTTTGCTACTGAAATATCTTATTAATTTTTGTACCAGTTATTATTCTGTAAATTTAGAGATCTCTTATACACCTTTCCATTTTGAAAATTTTCAGCAATCACTATGCCAAATTTCACAGCAGAAGGGGACCACATGTTGGCTAGAAAATTATAAGTAATGCATATATGATGTGGAATCTTGAAAAAGTATAAGAAACTTTTTCCTTGTGAGGTTTACATCCCACAGATCCAGAAATCGCATCCTTCTCCACTCGTATTCTTCATTATTATCTAGTATTGGAAGTGGTTAACCTATGTGATTTAGATTAACTCCATAGTAAGGTGTCTCCCAATTTCATTTGTCAAATTGAACTACTTGGACCAATAGGATACGTTATTATTTAGATTAATAAAAGGGATTGCAGGCAATGAATGGCAATGGTTCTGTGCCACGTAGGCTTGGAACTGAATCTGTATTCTTTTTAGGTCTTTGTGAAGACTAGCAAAATTATAGATGGTTCTCAATCGTTAATCCAACAACTCCATAGTCCTAACTTTTTCTATGCTGTCCTTTTATCACTGCACCCTTGATTATATCTAGGAATAGACTGAATATTTTTTTGCACAAAATTAACAATACTTCGTTCTACTATTCAGGAAACAACCATTGCCTGTGCTGTAGCCATAAACCCAATATCTCATCATTCTTTTTTCTCTATATTTGGCTGGTTCAGAAAGTTGGCTAAAGCTGTGGACTGCGCTTAGAGTCCATATATTATGTGGATCATGCCTTGAATTTTTGTTTAAGGATGTAATGAGACTTGGTATTTCATGTTTCAAGCATTGTATAGCCTATTATGCTTGCATAATGGTAATGATTAATATTCTTTCAACTTGAGTAATGCAGCTACCCATGCATTGCGTGGACTGCCGCACTTTTTATTGGGTCAGTCAATGGGAGGAGCTGTTGCATTAAAGGTTCATTTGAAACAGACCAAAGAGTGGGATGGAGTTATCCTCGTTGCACCGATGTGTAAGGTAACCTGTTTCATAGATCGTGTCCCCCCAACTAAGATTTAACTTTCCCCTTTTTCATTAAACATTGTGAATGTTATCGTCGTTTTATTTAGTCTTCAGTACTTTAATTTGGTATGAATTTACTTATTTAAGAAAATTCAGACTATCTAGCTAGAGATATTTTGTAACATGATTGAGCCTGGACAAAAAAATTACTTCATATGTTGTTGACATTTAAGCAGACATACATTGACATTCACTCTCATAGTTCCATTTCTTTTCAAGGCTTTCTGTTATCATACATTGCGTCTGATGTCGGACAAGGAAGTGGTTCTGACTCAGGATGCATCTTGATTGTATTGTGAATTAGTGTGCATGTGTGAAAGCTACATCGGACGGGTATGTTTTGTTTTATTAAGTACTAGGTAATGGTCATGAGGGTCTGTCTACCTTGATGTTGATGAGACTAGGAATGTGTGTGTGTGTGTGTGTGCGTGCGTGTGTGTGTGTGTGTGTGTGTGAGAGAGAGAGAGAGAGAGAGAGAGAGAGAGAGAGAGAGAGAGAGAGAGAGAGAGAGAGAGATGTATCTGATCCAATATCAGGACAGGATCCACAAGAATACTTGTTACCTCCAAAATTTTGGTGTAAACCGGTTGTTTGACGTGAACCCAAATTCTGTTCGGTGTAGGAACGGGTGTAGTTTTTCTGTCAGGATAGATGTGTCTGACTGTGAGGACAGAAAAGAGATTTTCAACACAGGGGACTTTTGTTTTGTTTTGTTTTGTTTTGTCTTGCTCTTTCTCTGCCACTGATCTTTGGTACAAACCACCCCCCCAAACAAAAAGATGAGAGAAGACCTGGATTGAGTTAGAGAACAAAGAAGAAGGACGATAGCAGGAGAGTTCCCCTGGAACCATGGGTCGCCCCAGAGGCTTTCGAGAGACCTCCTGATCTCCCAATGACTATCCTTTGTCTCTCTCCAAGAGTGTCCGCCCTCCTCCTACAGCCCAGGCCCTAAGTGCCTCGAATTGCAACCTTGCCCCTCCCATTTTACAGAGGACGCCATCCTTGAGGTGATCTTTTCCTCCTAAAATAGATGGCTGCGGGGCATATCAATACTCCTCCCTGAGGTGGAAGTCAGTATATTGGTGTTGACTCGCCCCTGTTGACTCCCAAGTGGTTTCAAATGCGGAAGATCTCTATTATATCCATGCTTCCTGCCTTCGAGCCACATGGTGTAGGCCCACTACATAGTGTGGCTGGACTGACCGTTAAGTTGAGATCCTTGCTGATAGGTGAGTCCTCTGGCTACACTAACAGTAAATCGAAGGCTCCTCTTCAAATCCAGCATCTCACAAGGCTTCCTCAAAAGGCTTACTCTCATAGACCCAGAAATATATTCGATAGGGCTTGTTTCAATGTAGTCGTTTTCATTGGAACATATACACTCTACAGGGCTACAAAGCCTCTAGGAGTCTGTCAAGTCTTGCGAATGTCATCATCCGCTTCTCCCTCAATGACCTCTGATTCTTCTATCCTCTCAGACCAATGCCTTTCCTGCACCAGCAGAGGACGGTATTCTCCAGAGTACCTACCTTCCAGATGAATTCCTTGTACCTCTTTCTGACCTGGTGGCCTCGTATGTGACCCTATAGTTTGATCACATGCTGGCACAAGGTCAAATAGTTGTTGCGTCCTCTCCAACCACAATGCTTCTTCTGAATACAAAGAGCGGCAGTGTGAAGCTTTTGATCACGATGCCCACAGAGAACGTCTGATACTGCAAAAAGATCATGAATTTCTACTTATCCTTTAACAGTCTTGTAAAAACCAATCCATACCATCAAATGTATCATTACTACCTACCAATAGTAACGCAATAATTTTCCGAATGGATCATGTGTATCTACTTCCCTTCTAAGGTCAACCTTTGGCAGATCCTTTCCTTCCTTTTGATTGTGGTTAGCATCACATCCATGTAGGAGAATCCGTCCAAATTTAATAAGTAAAGTCCATTCCTCAGTGCCCTTCGCTGGAAAAACTTCTCTTACCGTAACAGATGTTTCAGGCTTCACACGATATTCAAATTCTCTTACTTCACTGCAAGATTCCTGATTGCCAGCCATCATCCAACCTTGGACATGTTGAGGAGCATGACAACATATCGCACCTTTCTGAATGATTTCCACTGGAACTTTAATGTCTCCAAACATTACTTTCAAGTCATATCCCAGATAATTTCAAGAGAAATGACCAGTAATAACAACCTTTGTACTTTCAGAGGAATATGCCTACTCAGGAGAAATTTCAAGAATACAAAAAAGGTGTCGTTGTGAAAAATTTGGGCATGAATCCGTTTCAATAGATGACATTAATTGACTCTGGCCAAATAACATTTCTGAGGAGTTAGAAAAATATTGTACTGTTGCCAGCAAGAAAATTCATGTTAATCATCCCATCAATTGTAGTTTCCTCCTTCACCACCATGGAATTGCCAACAAAATTCTTACTTTCAGCTTCATACATGATTTTATCTTCAACTCCCTGAGTATGTTTGGTGGATGTTGATGATTCAATGGGACCACCAGGACCCAAGAGAATTTTTCTAGTTGCTGAAAGATGCAACAACAAATTTCTCTCTGGATTTTGACTATTATTTCCTCCATAATCTTCCTGAAACATTACTTCCGACATTGTACATAAACTACTCATTTTTGTAGAATACAAATGTATCTCCATTTGTCTCATTTCTTTGGGAGGAAAACAATTTCAATTACACCCATTCTTTCAGAAGAAGCCCAAGCATCTTTTGAGAAAAATGTTTCGGACGTCTTCTCTTGTGTGCGAAACCTAGTTGAGCTAGATGCGGTCAGCTCCAGCATTTCTCTCAGAAGTGAGATGATTCCTTCCAGCTATATGCTCGGAGTTTAACAGTTGAAATATCAGTTGCCGATCCTTGCTGGTCCTCTGGAGCAACATCAAGCTATCAGAGTCATCATCTTGTCCCATGTATTCAGATCTGCAGCTTTATTTCTGTGCATAGCTAGCGTAGCCTCTGCTCTAAAATTAATATGCTTCTCAGCCTGCAAATTATTCTGTCTGGAGTTGTGTGAAATATTTTCTTTAATGGAGTCGTAATCATTATCCAAGGAAAATAACATCCATCCAGCTCGCCATTAGCAGTTCTTATAGAAGATGCACGACTCCCTACTTCTGTAGATACTGGACTGCAAGAAACGTTTGTGGTTCCTTCGATGTGGTCATTGCCCAGTGCATTGAGGGTGAAAGGAGAACCTGTTGACAAATCTGATATTTTCCATGCGTATAGCTTCCCTCTTTGTACAGAGAAAGGTGGTCTCCCCATATGCCGTCTTGAATTATCCATATCACTAGCACGTGCTCAAAAGGTTCCTGCATGTTATGTAACGAGTTCTTTTCCGCATCATAAACTCCTGCTGTTGAAATATTCTCCTGTTAGCACACCATATTCTTGCATCTTCTGAAATTTCATTCAAAATGTTGAAGGTTTCATGAAGGGTTGAACGATGATCATGCAAATCACCATAGCTAAGTCCATATTTTCCTGAAAAAAATTTGAACCATTTTTAAATGTGGCCCTTGAAATTGGTTTCAATTTTAGGCCAACAGCACCATCAATAGTCTTCGGTTCGTTTACAGATAACAGAGGAAGTCCCTTCCCTTACAGAATTTTAGGCCAGTTGGTTCCATCCTCGTTGAAAATTCCAGGTGGTTACCTTGCATTGCTCCATTCTTTCCTATGTTTGGTAAAATTCTTTTTCTTCTCGCACCTGTCCTTGCTTTCTTGCATTTGAGACGTCATTTTCTGTGGATTTAATCCCTCTGGCGTCCAGCTTGTGACCCCATTTCTCCATTGATGTTTGATGTTCCTCCATCTTGTCCAAATGCTGTAAGATCCTATCTAGCATGCTGGCAATATCTTCCCTCATCTTCTTCAAGTCGTTCTTCACACCTTCAATGTTTGCCTCTAGGTTGTCAAGGTGGTTGTGGGGCCAGTGGTTACAAGAATCTGGTCTGATACCAAATGATGCCCCCCCCCCACACACACACAGAGAACTGACACAGAAGATCAGAAAAGACTTGGATTCAAAATTAGAGAACGAACAAGAAGGAAAAGATAATAAGAAGGGTTCCGCAAGAACCCTAGGTCGCCATGGAGGCTTTCAAGAGGCCTCCCCTTCTTCCAGTGACTATCCTCCGTCTCCCTCCAAAAGTGTCCCCCTCCTCTGCAGGCCGATCTCCAGTACTTGTCCTAAATGCCTCAAATTACAATCTTACCCCTCCTCCTTTAGACAGGAAGTCCTCCTTGAGGAGGTATTTTTTCCTCTAAAATGGATGACTGCTGTGTCGTATTAATGTTCTTCCTACTCTCCATCTTGATGAAGGCTCAGTAACATTCTGCACGTTCTTTATTTGTAGCTTTTTGTTCCCCATCACAGATCATCTTTGATCCTACACAATCTTGCCTTGGCAAAGGGATGACTTCAACAGCATCAGGCTTGTCAGAGGAAAAGTTACCATCGTTGGCCATAGAAAAAATTCAAGAAACACGATACAAAATCATCCTCACATAGTTGTATCTAAATAAGGCCTTCTCAGTTGTCCGTTATTCAATTTAGGATCCACTAACTCTGTCATCAAGAAAGGATTTTATATTGATCCCAAAAGTAAAGACAAAAGTATCGACTGTCTTTTGCATGATTCTTTTTCAGGCATTACTCTAATCAAAACTTAGAGCTCCTCATATTTACTGCTCTTCCTCTCCAAACCGGACTCCTTCTGGGAAGGAACTATTCAATTTTGCTTGTTGTTTGAAGCATAAAGTTTGAAATCGTCATATAATTTTTCTGTTCAAACACCCATATCAGTAGCAAACGTTCTTCTACATAACTGCCATATATGTGTAAATCAGTATATATCATCATTACTGTGATAACCTCAAGAAAGTCAAGTATTAATAATGTCGAATATAAACTAGGAGTATTGTGGCATTGATATCCGTATCTCAGTACTCTTCGCCTGTAGCTCATGAAATCATTGATTCCGTATGAGTCAAGCTAGAGATGTGTGAATGTTACTCCACCTGATTCGCAATGTCTTTCCTACGTCTACATGTCTTATCTGGTTTTGGGTCAGACATAATGTTTGGTTTTCTGCAACTTAGATGCATCTGGTTTCCATTCCAAGGTTGTTGGGTGGTATGAACCATGATATTTGCTTTATTAAAAAATACAACCGATCCATAAATCACTACAGTCATTCCACTGACAGCTACAATAGCACAAGATGAAACTGATATCTGTATACCTATAAATCCACATATTTATATATATATATATATATATATTCGTTTCCACCATCATACTCGGATATGTATCGTACTGAAGGCTGATGAGGCATCATCAATTACATTTATTATAAAAGATCCTACATTAAATGAAATTTCATATATTCTCTTTGATATCTAATGTTTTTTAATTTTTCTACAACTACTGAATTTAATACTTTTTAATTCGTTCTAATAATTCAACGTTATAAAAAAAATTGTCAATAGGTAAAACTTGTGCTAATGTTGTGTCGAGGTGTAGTATACATATTGGGTTATTGTTCTCATAGTATTCTGCTCTTTCTTACTCTTTCCTGTGTGCATATAACAATGAAAAACGTGAGATAAGGTCAACGGAATTCACAGAATTTAGATGCTTTATATCATAGATCCGGGACATACGTGAAAGGAAAATTGCCTATTGATGGACATCATATGGGAAAGGCATTGCTGTTCATGGACTCAGATTGTAACACCCAGAAACATGTACATAAATGTAGGTAACCATCCACTATATAGCATTTTCAGTAAAGTTTCATTCACATGAATGTGGGGAATCGTCTGGTAGACTTTATACAGCTTAATTTTGTTGCCTTTACATGAATATGCATGGGCACATGTTAGGATAGTCTGGCCTCGAGGTAGAGCAAAATTTGGCCTTCTACATATTTGGGATGGTTTCCTCTTTCAATAGACCACTCACATATGTAGCTTGAAGCTTCTCCTTCTGAGATGCCATCTAAAAGCAATATCTCAGACATAATCTCAAACTTTAGGTAAAGTTCCACCGTTTGTTAATTGTGTGTCAGGCTTCAATAACAAGAACCAATCCCAAATGATATTTGTAGTTTGCTTGATTTCGTAGAAGAACCAGAATTCACATGCCTGCTTTGGGTAAATATTTAAGTGACAGAATTCTGTAATTTAAATCGTTGATAAACGTTAAAGAATCATGATATCTCTGGAATTAAAATTGACGCAAACCAAAAAAGAATAAAGAGTAGGGGAAATTTTCTATCGTATCAATTCATAGAAAAATTGCTGGTTACATACAATTACCTTGGCTTCAGAAAAGGAAAACTACCGAGGTTGAATCCCACGATTTATTGGGTACTGAACCAAATTAGGGAACTCACCGACAAACTAACCCTTAATTATACGTTTTCTCCCACAGAAATGCCGGACTTTATTTTCGCGCAATAGGAGCTCAGTATCTTTTCTGCTTCTGAAACAGTCCTAAATATGGCCTGCCTAATCCTCATTGACATAGACTTAATTTCCTTTAAGTATGCATTTTTTGGCAAACTGGCATTTCCAATGGTGCTCCGATTATTTAATATTTCAAATTGTTTGAGTCCTAGTTCAAATTGATTTTCTTGCTAATTAAAAGTAGTAATTGGTTTTACTGAATTTACTAGATTTCACAAGATGTAACTCCTTCCCCGCCAATTTTGAAGACCTTGACCATCCTCTCCTATTTTCTACCACAAGCAAAGTTGTTCCCTTCTCAGGACATTGGGGAGCTCGCATTCAGGGACCCTGAGAAAAGAAAAATGGTATGGATTCGCTATGATCCCGGTTCATGCAAATAATTGAAGTATTTGACATTTTTTCACAGAAACTTATTTACAAGATGCAGTAAAACTGGGCATATTTACCCGAGCATGAATTCTCCCTGGAAACATATTTGGTGAAATTGTTGATTAGGTTTCAAATTTCTTATCTTTGCGATGATTTTTTTTTTTTCAAATTTTGTATTCGCTTTGAAATATGGGTAGACTAGTGAATGGTCATGATTTTGAAAAGGCTTTATCTCACCTCTTAGAGCGAATTGTTTTGCGATCTAAATGGTTTCTTGTCTTGAACTTAATATTTTTTGACCTGATAATGAAAGGCTACACGACAATTTCAATGAATATTTTTGTTAGCATTAAATGACGAATTAATAGTCGCATAAATTTATTTGTTCTCTCTTGAATTGGGAAATCATTTTAAACTGATCATACTTCGTGCATTCCCGCTATCCTTGCTACTACTAGGTCTATTCTTTTAGCTAAAGTTTAATATTAAAGCAATACAAATTCTTAGGATCACCATGGTTTATGAGACTGGCCTATTTAGATTGGCTTTTTTCCTTTGTGGTGAAATCGTTGAAATTATTTCTTGTTTACTTATGTAGGCTGACTACAACGTGATTTCCTATTCTGACAAAATGCGTTTGAAGACTGCAATCGAGCTCTTGAAGGCCACTAAAGATGTTGAATCACAAGTTGAAAAGGTTGCAAAACGTCGCTAGTTTTTTTTACTTCTGTGGTTTGTATTTAAATATTGCTGCATCATAGAGTAAATCGCTAGAAATCAGTTTCCTGCCATGTTTTTCTATACAGTTAGTAATGCATAATACACCATGATTCCAGTTCCTTCGTCCTATTATTCCCTCTCTAATCTGCGTTTCCTTAATTATTGAATAGATTACCAGACTATGCAAGAAATTCCACCAAACACATGGTTTCCTCTAATTAGAAATGTAAAATTAAGCTCCTCGATTCTTTAATGAAACCAAATATAACTCGTTATCGCTATCACAAAGCTATGATTTTCATCTACAGTTTGTTTCAAATTGCATCGGCTGTCTTTTCCCCTAATGTCTACCTTTTCCATGCATGAAGTATTTTTTTTGTGTGCTACCAGAGCTATGACTCTTCCAAGCTCCGAAGATGCTCTTTAGTCTTCCTCTATCATATTTTTTTTACCCATGTGAATGCGGCAACCGATCAGAGCATTTCTTTCTCGAGCACTAATTTTATGGCCGCAACCCATCTCTCCTATTAATAGTATCTACCACTTATATAATCTCCTCTCCTGATTTTATTCACCCTCGATTTTGGTTATGTATTTCATGAGCCTACTTCTGCCAAATCAGTCCACATTTACGGTGCTTTCCGACTTTCTTCCCTGGTGTGTACTAAAACGCATAGTTGAACTGTTTAGAATATCAATTTCACTAGAATATGGTATAGTTTAAGACACAGATCCTCAGAGATTATATTACTTGGGAACTATAAAGTTCAAATTATTTTACTCTGGGTTTCTTCCCATGAAGGCCTCACACTTTATGTATTCGATTCATTTTCTCTTTGCCATTACTGATGATGCCCGGGCTCAAGAACATAGCTGAAATCTCTGCACTAGCTAGTTCTATTTTTTATGAAACCTTACTACCCCACAAGGATTTACAGTAGTAGTATATTTTCATTGATGGCTGCTTACACAGCTATATCTCTAATTTATCTTTTCTCAAAGATACATCTGATCATCCTCACAGGTGTCTTCCCCTCTCTTGGTCCTCCATGGGGCTGCTGACAAGGTCACAGACCCCCTGGTCAGCAAGTTCCTCTATGACACCGCATGCAGCCAAGACAAAACGATGAAGATCTATGAGGATGGGTACCATTCTATTTTGGAGGGGGAGCCCGACGACAGAATTTCTACGGTGATCTCTGACATTATCTCATGGTTGGATTCCCACTGTGCCCTTGTGTAGATGCAACCCACCACTCCCCCCCCATTTCCCACCCTACATAGGCCTGATAAATGTATTCATCTCATCATCTATTTTGCCTTGATTAGCGCACCATGTAATGATGTGAATTGACACACGCTAGAGCTTCGTGTCTTGGAAGAGCCTGTACTTGTCAACTCATGAGAAGATGTATGAGTGATAAGACTATCTGAGGCAGGTCCTAATGTTCGAAGTTGTTTTATATTGTCTAATAATCTGGGTGGTTGTGTTGGAATCTTCTCACATTGAAGAAGCAAAATGAAATCATGTGATTATTTAAGCAAGCTTGCTCCACATTGTTTTATTGATTTTGAGTTACATGGTTCAGTATCTGGTATGATATCTCAGACCATAAGTTATGCACATCTAATTTATGTTATTCATCCCATTTGTGATACTAGAGTAGTCTGATGCTAAAAACGGAATTTAAACCTTTGCTCTTATAAAGATCGGCTGCAATACTTTATTAGTCATATTATACCAACAAAAGAATTTCTTTCTATCCTGGTTCACTATGTCCAAGACAGAATATGGTTTTAGTCATTATTTTATTGGTGTTCTCTCATTCTGGTTCACTATATGATTCTCATGTTCTATTCTATAATGAACTTCCTTCTATTCAGTTTCAAATATTTACGAGATCATATTTTTATCATTTGATACATCTAGAAGTTCTAAAGACAATCATGAGACTAATACTCATTTGATCCATCTATAATCTGAGCGCTTCTATGGTATGCTATATGATTGAATTGTGATTTCAATCTCTTATCATACAAAGGAATGGTAATTAATTTAAATTATTCCTATTGTAAAAAGTTATGAAAAATTATATATTATAAACATTTTTAGGCAAAATATGATTCCACACTATGTAATAAAATATTTTTTTTGATCAACTTCTAGTGACAACTATTTGAGATTAAAATTTTTTGTTAGAATTTCAATGATTGTTAGACAAAGTAAGAGAATGACTTTCCTCCATCTTTGGGCAAAATATTCCCATGGATTGGTTTGGTCTTTCTAATTTTATGTCTCTTTGATTAATTGAAAGATATCTTTTTCTTTCTAATTTCTTATTCTGATCCATCATTATATATCTAATAATGTCACATTATTTGTAAATATCTTACACAATAAAATGAAAAATATACACTAAAGTCTTAATACTCTATCCCTCACCCCTCTGACTATCTTATATCTTTCTTAGAATGACTCTCTCATAATTGTCAAATTAGTTAGATGATACACACTTTTATGAAATTATAGTTGTGTGAAATTTAATGTTAATTCAGATTTTGCCCATAGATCATAGGATCTATTTTTAGTCAGGTATAGCCTTAATTGCAGCCTCTCACCCTTCACACAATTCTTGGGTTGTTGACTTTGGACCTTCCAATGACATAAGTAGTACTCCATCTCACCTCATATCAACTTTAGTTAGGTAAGAATAAATTGATATTAGTTGAAGCTAGTAAAGTCACAATTGACGACGAAGGATCTATTAAGCTAAATAATTGCTTAACCCAACCTTTAGCACTTGATGTTCCCTTGATTCATATGAATATACTCTCCATAAATTCTAGCATAAAAATAATTGAACTGTTGTGTATACTTTCTTCTTGATCACGTTGTCATCTAGGATGTAAATATGAAGCAAACAATTGGGACTGGTCTTGAAGTAGGAGATTTATATCTCTTTGTGCCTCAAAAATTAATTTCACTGTAGCCCAAGTCAAACCCAAATGCACCACACAAGCTTTCAAATCCAAATGTCTCAAAAAGATCAACTTATGCCACTCTAGATTAGGCCCTCTTTCAAATCTTTGAAATTTATGTTTTCCTCTATGTTTAAGTTAATGGACATTCATACACTTTCAAACTAAACTTGTCGATTAACAAAACATTCTTGTACACATTTTCCACCTTCTAATATTAAAAGTTTATTTTCTTTTGAAATTATAGATTGTGATGTTTGAGGTTCATTTCTAGTTGTTTTGATAGATAGTAATAGATATTTTATTTCCTTCAATGATGACTTAGCACGTTCAACATTGGTATTTTTGATGAAATCTCAAGAAGTTTGTAGCATTGTCTAAGTATTTTGTAACATGATAAAAAATTACTTTGACAAATATATAAAAAATAATTTGTTCCAACAATTGCATAGGGTACTTTACATGAAAGTGATGAGAGTATCATTCATGAATCTTCTTAACCCTATACACTTCAAGGAAATATAATTTTAGGAAGGAAAATAGACACCTATTAAAATTACATGTGCATTACTCCAATCTCAAATGTTATAGAAAATTTGGACAAGAGTCATATTCAATAACTAAAATGATATCTATCACTATCAAATATCATATTCAAACTTTATTATTTCCTAAAAATCACTTTTTTCTCTTCCACCTAAGGTATATGGTTCTCTTTTATACATATACTTGAAGCACACAAAAATAATGAACTTAACCCCAGATCAAGTAGAGATATTTTTCTTAAATATTCACCTAATCAAAAGGGTTAAAAATGTCTTGATATCTTAACTATGAAAAAATATGAGTAAAAAAATGTTACCTTTGTTGAATCTGAATATTTCTATAATCCTAAGTCTTTAACTCATTGGAAGATTTCCTTGTTCAATATTTGTTCAATTGTATCATTGCATGGCAATTCTCCACTATATGCTTCATGCCCAAATGACAAACTGCTTCTTGAAAAACATAATGCCACCTAGAACTTAGTGGAAAAATTACAAATAAAATTCAGCTAGTTCAGACTAACAATTACTTAATTACTTATTCCTTGTGAGGTAGAGGCAAAGATAAGAAAAGACTGATTATAGAATTACCATCTCATGAAATTACTTTAATCGTGAAAATTTTCATACTCAAACATTAAAAATGAACTTACTATTGTTTATGAAAAGGAGTTCATTTGAGCACAAAACACTCAATACCTGAATTCATTATCTATCCACAAATATCACCTTAATATTTCTCTTTTCTTTTGTCCATAGACTCACTAACTCCACCAAATGTATTTGGACTTGACACAAAAGATCATAAGTGGGTAAGAGCAATGTAAGAAGAAATGAAAACCCTAGAAAGAAATGACACTTGAAAATAATAAACTTATTAGTCAATAAATCTATAGTTAGATCAAAATGAGTGTTTAGTATCATACAAACATAGCTGGTCAAATTCACCTGTATAAAGCTTGACTAGTAGAAAAAGGTTTTACTAAAATATATAGCATTGACTATAATGAAGCCAATAAACTTTTTTTTAGTGTGGTGAAATTGAAGAAAAATAAGAATATTATTATCATTAGTTCAATTTTCATGAGACTTACATTAATTTTGATCATAAAAATGCATTCTGAAATTTTGATCTAGAAGTACCCACTTCTATGATGTGACATTAAAATGAAGGCGTGCCATCTAAGGAAGACATTATATGACTTGAAACAATCTCTCAAGGTGTGCTTTAGTAGACTTTGACACACAATATTCAGATTTGACTATTGATAAAAAAATGAAGATCCTACTTTTTTGAAAAAGAAGATATGAATGTATGTAATATTGATTGTTTATGTTAATGATATGATGTTTACTAGGGATGGTTTTTATAAAAAAAAATTAATAGAGTCTAAAATAAAAAACTTGACCAGCTATGATAGTTGAGGTATTCCCTCAAAATTGAAGTTACGCCATCTAGGAGAGACTTGTACATTTGTTAGAAAAAAATATGCATTAGAACTCTTAAATGAATTTAGAAAGTTGGAATGTAACCCAACTATCATACTTATAGAGAGCAGTCATCATTTTATTAGCACTAATAGTGATGAGCTTCTAGTCAAAGCCAAACATCTAGGAGAGACTTGTACATTTATTAGAAAAAAATATGCATTAGAACTCTTAAATGAATTTAGAAAGTTGGAATCTAACCCAACTATCATACCTATAGAGAATAGTCATCATTTTATTAGCATTAATAGTGATGAGCTTCTAGTCAAAGCCAAACACCTATGCCAACAAATAGTTAGAAAATTATTATATTTACCATTGACCATACTTGATCTATTTACCAGTTATATGTAGGTTGTTCATAGAACATTAAAATAGTTGGTCTTACCCAAAAAAATAATTTTTATTTACCAGATTATAATTCTTTAAAATAGAACAGTATATAAATGCAGATTAGGTTGGATCATGTCAGGATAGAAGATCTATAAGAAACTATGATATATTTTTGGATAAGTTTTGTGATGTGGAGGGGCAAGAATCAGATGGTGGTGATTTGAAAAGTGCAGTAGCAGAATATTGTGACCTAATAGAGTTACCATGGGTAAAACATTTTCTAATTGGTATTGACATTGGACCAAAACTTTTGCTCAAACTTAGTTGTGATAATAAAGTAGCTATAAACATTGTGAACAATTGAGTACAACATGATATGACCAAATATATTGAAATTGGTCAACACTTCATTTGAGAACAACTTGATGCAAAGGAGCCATGTCTCTACTATCTATGATCAAAATATCAAGTTGAAGATATTTTTATAAAAGAATTATTATTAGTGACATTCAACTTGAAGGAGAGTGTGGTGATACCAAATTAGCTGTCTTAAATAGTTTTAAATATATCTTGGAAGGCATTTTCATTCTCAAGGATAGAGTTCAAGTAATGAGTCTTATTTTTTTGTGGTTTTCAACTGTTGTAATTGGGGGAGCTTGCCCCTTAACCTAGGACAGCCAGTGTAATAGAAAAAAATAGTTTTCTCTTGCTTCTCTCATCTCTTTCTCTCTTCACCCAAGGCTTCTAGATTAATTAACCTCATCGTCTTGTTGTTTTCTCTTGCTAGCTGGTTTCCTCATCTTGTTGTTCTTGCCAACCAATCTCCTTATCTCATTTTTCAACAATAACATAATGACATTTCAGTATGATTCATTTCTTTGATTTGATCACACATCTATTTCGTAATTCTTCTTCACTATGAGTCAAATAATTATATACTTGATAATTTTATATGATCACACTTTTAGATACACCATAAATGAATCCTCTTGTTGCTTATTTTGTGTTCTTGTCTAGTAACAAAAGGGCTGAAAAAGGAAAACCTTTTAAAATTATTGGAGAAGACAATGTACATGAGTTTCCTTTTCACTTGATAAATTGATGATATAAATTATTCTAATAAAATCTAAAAAATGGCTCACCTTCACCAATGGATTCATCAAAAATGATTTTTTACATCATCAATCTACCATGTTTATAACTCAATGAAGGAATAATAATTGCACAAACTTTTAGGATTTCTATTAATCTAATATTAGGAATCTATTGAATGCATAAATTTGTTAAGAAATAGCATTTGTATATAAATAATTTATTCAAATCGGAATTGTGTCTTCTCATGAATCGATTGATCTCATTGCCTAACATAATCTTAATGTGCATAATCTAGAGAACAATTAATTTATTTATGCAGGTTGACTTGAGAAGTTGACATTGTGAACGATCATGCTTAGAAAGCACTCTGACATATTTATTTGTGAAATGGAGGAGACGAATAGCATGAGACCCAGTATGGAACCATTCAGCCAATCTTCTAATAAAATTTAATAAACCCATTAGCTCACTAACTTCACACTCACAACACACAAATATCACAAACATCCTAGGAAAGAGTTCTAGGGCTCACATTTTGGGGTTGCCAGAGGAGCCCATTGAGCCTACTTGGACCATTTGATAACATTCTCTCACAAACCCATTAAAATTCCAAGCACAGAATACAAGGATCACATATAATTTATAAAGAAAGTAAAAATTAAAAGCTCTCCTCACAGTTTAGGGTTTAGAGTTTTTGGTGGTACCATTCATTAAAGTGAACAGAAGAAATCATATGCACATAGAAAAGCAGAAAAAATGTCGGCTATGAAACTCTAGATGGACTTGGATGGACCGATCCACGTCACTGGCAACACATACAGAAGGGCCATTATATCCTGGATAAGAAGGTGAAAAGCTCCAGTTTGAGTTTAAGGTTCAGGGTTTGGAGTGACAACAAGAAATAAGTTAAAAACTGAGGCAATCATATGCACATGTAAAGAAAAGAAAAGAAAAGAAAAGAATCAATTTCCATAAGATTTCAGATCACATCTGTCAACTTTCACTAGAGCTTCCAGAATCCTCTTGTAGGCGGTACATGGTGATCTCTTGCTGCTTGAAATAGCGCCGGTCCTCTTCATCCACAAGGACGATGTTCAAGTAGTACTTTACGCTGAATTTGTTGTTGATGTTGCGATATGTTGGTGTTAACTCATACGGGCTCAGGAACAATCTAATTGGAATCGATTCGCCTGTGAAAACGGATATATAAGGAAACAACGATGTTGACTTGGGGAATTCAGGATCATCATAAAGTCAATGTTTTTCAGATAAATGATTATAAGTTATACCACAATACAGCTTACACTAAACAGGCCCAAAGTCAATTCCTTTTACCAAATAATCTAAAATTCGGTTTAAGGAAGAAATTTAATACATTGTTGATCATTATATGGGTATTGCTACCCAAACGCAAAACAAATTGACCAGACATCAAGAGCTCACAACCACCCTTAGAAACATGGGCATGCATATCTTATGCGACTTATGCATATCTCACTTAAGTATATATAGCTATACATATGTATATATATGTATATATATATATATATTATATTCTCATTAATGATGCTAAAATTGAGCCCATCACTCCAAGATGAAGACATGCATTCCTTCTACACTGAGCAGTACCCAAAAAGAGTTCCCACTTCCAAGAAAACATTTTGGATAAAAGTCACCTTAAAGGAAATCATACATCATTACATTGAGATCATTTCTAATGAAATCATCCTAGGAAGATGAAATCATACATCAGTTCCATGACTATCTAAAAACTCATATTAACATCCTCATTCATGTCACATTTAGACTCATATTTTCTTTAATTAGATACTTCAAAGATTTTGGGTCTTATGCAGCAAGTAACATGAAATTAAATGCAACTATGCCCTTCCAGAACCACAATAACTACATGCCCATCCCACAGTCATTCTCCTCAGAAGAAAATTCCCGGCTTCCAATGCATCACAAGGTTTTACCAGAACAGATGACAGGAACCAGAACAAAACAAAGGAAAAAATGAATCATGAAAATATGAAATAAAATCTATCAACATACCTCTCACCGGCGCACCATCCATCAGCTCAAACTTTGCGAGTGTCTCTGTCTCAACGTATGTGCTTGGCCCAGACCCAGTGGATTCCCTCCGCCTGATCTCAAGTTCCATGTTCTTTAGCTTGATCCTCACGAGAAGAAAATACACTTTGCCTATGATCACATCCTTCAGATGGTACCTGTACAAGAATTAAATTTATCTCCACAAAAAGAAGAAAAAAAAATCCTTCTGCTCTCCACCCACGAGGAGCTAAACTCAAACCATGAAGGGAAACTCACTTGCTCTTGTTATATTCAAACTCAATGTGCAGGCAGTCCTCAATCCCCACTTCCATCTGCCCGAGCGGACATGAGAAATATCAGTACAAGGCGAAGTATTAGAGGAGAAATACTCTATCCGGTCCTGATGAGAAAATGCCAAGAGTCATTAATTGATACATTAAGACACCTAATATATAATTCTTGATGCAAATGTGTGAGGGCAGTGAAGGAAATTTACCATAGAAACATGGAAATGTACGGAAATATCAATGTTCAGAGGATTTAAACAGTAACCAGGGTGTCCATTTGACAATCCTAGACAGAAAATAAGCATCTTTTTACCAGGCCAAGACCAACACGCAGCCTAGAGAAAACCCCATAAAATAGGCTCAGGCCAGTAGCTGTTAAGACCAGCCAAGCCTAAATAGAAATCGGGCCAGGCCCACTTTTCTTACTGGGCTTGATTGAGGCACAAGTAAAGAAAAGCCAGGCGGGGCCAAAGCCTTAATCAGCTCATCAACACCCTTAACAACACAACCAGCCAGTCAATTGCGATGCTGAGATGAATTTCACAGCCCATGAAAGATTACTGACCTTGATGCTGTTGTTAATGGTTGGAAGTGGAGTGTAGTTCTGGACCTGAGGATAAAATGATAAAATAATGGATATAAAGTAAATGAAATAATTGCCTCAGAGTTCAAAAAACAACACACAGTAAATATCCAAGGAAACAAATGACTATATATCATATCGTTATGCAGACTATCTCAGAGAAATTTAGGATTCACAGCTGGAATCATGATTCAAAGTTGATAGACAACAATACATGGCACAATGTCAGCAACGATGAGGCATAATATAGTTTATTCATAAAATTTGGATATCACGAAGGCTCATAGAATATTCTTATAATCATGATTCTTGGATGAGTTAGGCCAAAGTTAACAGCTTGTTTATAGAGAAAAACTAAGAAAATGAGTAAAAAAATGATACTTATAGATACTTTCGTTTTAAGTGAGCAGTAAGCAATAATGGCACTTACCTGTATTATTTCATAGAAAACATGGGTATACATAATTCTTTGGTGTACATTTATGATTTCAGATCATTTATGATAGAAAACATGGTCACTGCTCAAAATTCTTTTGTTTTCAGAGCCAAAGCACATTTCATATCGGAAAAATTTAGACATAAGCAGTAGAAGAAATCTCCGTAAGATCCAGCCATAAAAATTCAAGGTTGTACACAATTGAGTGAAAAAGTGTTACCCAGAAGTCTTGAAATTCCACAATGTTGCCGATGTAGTTGCGACTAACTGTGACTTTCAAAACATACCTGAAAGTTCCAATTTTCTTGGTTACTTGCCATTATGGGAAACACATTCCAGTGGTGAAGGCGGAAGTGCAGAACAGTTCAAAGTAAAAGAGCCAGTGCTATCATGTAAAGGGCCGTATATAATTTAGGCACCCATTTTCTAGACATTTCCATCACACATTTGGAAATGTGGTTTTGACTAGACTTGGGCCAAGAATATGGATGGGTTCAGTCTATCAGGAGGGATACTAAGACATGAGATTAGGGTGAAGAAAGGAGGTAGGCCTTGATATTATCAGAAGGAAATACAAAAACTTAGCATCAGTTTTTTCTTTAGGTATTTGGTTTTAGATCACTGAAAAACCCAGATATTATAAAAAAACTCATATTTTGCAGGATCTAAAACCACATAGCCCAAATATAAATTCATGTCAATTTCTCGCCCTTCTGAGAACATCAGGGCCACCATTATTTTTTCGCTGTTGGTGTCTAAGTCTCCCAAGACTGTCAAACCATTTTTATTTCGTCCTTTGTCAACATGGTCGTTCATATTTCAATGTGCAGTTAAAAGTACGACAGCTTTAAAACAAACTGTTAACTTCAAACAAAGTTAACATTGAGATACAAAGATTCTAAGGTATGGACGAATATACCAAGGTTTACCAATTCATCTTGATCTATGACACTAACCAGCTATCACAAAAAATAACCGTTTTTTTATTTGAGAAACAGGAAATTGAATCCAATGTCCTACCTAAGCCGCACATTCGCACCCCTGTATGACTCGTATGGCATTTCAACCGTCGAGAATTCAAAACGATACGCCTTCTTTTCATATATTTCTCCTGGAACCTCCAATTCACGCACTGCCAAAAAAAGAAACAAAAATTAAATTAGAGCAATCCACACACTGATATCTGAATGCTAGGACCAAGGCCAATCATCCAATTTGTTTTGGATGTACAGATGCACATTCATTGGGCAAAAGGAACGAGAATATTTAGCGGTGAAGAAAAATGACCAGACATTTTTCTTTACAAATAGAAAGCATTTGATAGAAAACGCAAGGCAGATCAAGACTGCCGGGAATCACTCAGAAGGGCATGCGAAACTCAAAACGAGATATTCGAATACATTTTCCACGATTAAAGTAACTCCAGCTATATCTCCCAAGGGTAAATTCGAACTTTCCCTTTTTTATGGGCTTTCTCGATGATATGATACTGGCTAAAGTCTAACAAATAGTCAAGACATGATCACGCGAGAGAAATGAATACATATAGGATGCACTCATCAATTACCTTTTAATAAATCAAAATATGCAAACTAGGGGGAGGGGGGAGAACGCTAAAAAATGGCAGAGACTGAATGCAGGAAAATGGCTAAGAGTAGGTGAAAGGGATATAAAAAAAAATCAAAAGTCTTCAAGAGTCAACTCGAATCTAACTTAACCTTAGCAAAGATAGAACGAACTGCAGAATATCTGACTGTAGTCCCAACATAAATCAAACTTACCTAGTGACGTAAAGTCATAAAAGTTGCCTCTGTCGAGGTAAAGCTCTGCAGAATATTAAAATAGAAACAATCAAAACACGTTCACGAATTTAAAATGAATTGTGTAAGGTGATATAATACACAATGATTTGAAGGATATAACTGAATGGGAAATCACATATGAAAGCATGAAAAATAAAATACAAGACTAGTCATATAAATTCTCCCGTGCACCATCCACAGAAGTATGAGGGGGGGAAGGGCGATAGGAGAAACTGGGATAGTTGGGAATGATGAATGTCTCTGTGTTCATTCTTTCAACATTCAGCAACAAGATGAAGGTGGAGGTGCCAGAACCAGTCGAGATCAACGACTGCGGTAGAAAGTGTTTGCAATGGTAGTTGAGACAAATAAACTGACAGCATTGTCACTGATGGCCCCAGTGGATGACATATACAGGGAAATATGGAAGGAATCAGATCTCACCCAATTCTAGGGCAGTTGAATAAAATCCTCACTGGTGGTTGGAGCGAAAGAGATTGAAGACTATATGAAGTTTTTCAGGAAGAGAAAGCTTTGATTTGGGCTTCAGATGTAAGGTTTTAAGGTATCTTAAGTTGAAGGTGCTAGAGATGATCGGGGAAATTAAGGCATTGGAATGAAGCCCGGAAGTCGTATATGCTAAGTAGTAGAAACTGGATGGGGAACATGCCCGACTAAAGCCTCTACACTTAGTGGATAAACCTGATAGTTGAACCGCAGCATATTTTAAGAAATAAAGGTAACAAACTCATCGTAGCCCAAAATGGCACATTATTCAGGTCACAAACCGAAGGTGCTAGTTTTCCCATGAAGGCTAACGCTGAGCCACTGGAAGTTGAGGAATCTCAACACCAGAAAGGGCATTAACTCTGAGGAAAGAAATGCATGAGTATAGACATTTTGCAGCAGGGGAGAGACTTCAAAAAACTAGGTGTGGCACATGTGTCAGGTTCTAAAAGAACATGTTTGCATTTCTGTTTTCCTACATACCAAACACCATTGAAATATTATATAATAGCTTAAAATTTAAGCATAAAACATGGAATAAATTCAGAAACTACCACTGGTGATGGAACATCACGAAATACAACCTGGTGACAAATGTCTATTGATCGACAGTCATGAAATCATAGGCGAAGTAAGTGTTATAAAAGTGTAAGAAATAACAGACTAATTTCCACTACATTGAAAAACTATTATGTACCATACAAATAATGTACTGGTTAATTTCGCTCTCGTGGCACCTACATTGTAGCTCAAAAAGAAGGTAAATATCTTAATAATAGGATACAGCTTATTGATAAGGTTCCACGCACATATGCTAGAAGGAAGAAGGCCCAAAGCCTAATAAGTCAATAACAGTTAGCATGATTGAGGGAAGGCACAGGTATGGCAAGGAACAATATGACAAGGAACAGTTATGGCAAAGAGCGGTTATGGCAAAGAGCGGTTATGGCAAGAGCAGTTATGACAGAAGACTAACTGCCTAAATAAGAGAGGGAAAGGAGAGGATCTAAGGATGGGCGGATCAGGAAGGAAGGGGAAAAGGAAAATCGGTGTTACTATCTTATGCATCTACGAGAAAGGGTTGGACGGTTGTATGCAACCCTCCATCTGTTCTGGGTTCTTTTACCTTATTTAACCTTTGGTATTTCTGTTCTAGAGATTGTTTTTTCATCTAATACAAATTATTCGTAGTTCTTTGATCTGGATTCTTATCAATAATGTACTGGTTAATTTCGCTCTTGTGGTACCTACGTTGTAACTCAAAAAGAAGGTAAATATCTTAATAATATGATTCAGCTTATTTTCAAGAGAAGAATTGTTGTTTCTACGTTCACAGGAGGATTCTTATATTTTTACCATATGGGAAAGAAAAAAGAGAATGTAAAAATAATATACCAATGTCGGATTAATTATCTAGGATGGATGATCTGGGTGGTACTTACCAATTTGACCAAGAAGCTCAATTTTGATACCAGTGTGTTCAATCTTTTTCCCACTTAGGGGCTTAATCGAAACCTGTGAGGTCACAGATGCAGCATGTCACTTGATAATCCTACCCAGCCATTAATCAGCAACAAGGGAAAATTAAAACCACTATTTGAGAATTGAAAGTTAGCAATAAGAACAAGACCTCCCCAGAGATGTTTTCGTGGCTTCGAAAAAGAGGAACCATTTCTGTTTTCCCATTTTCCTTTTTCATGGGAACCTGCAAAACATAAACGTAGATAATAATAGGCAAGAATTTTAGAGCACAGAAGGAAAACATTTCTAGAAATATTTAGGGTGTGAATGAACCAAACACAACTATTGGCTATGGAACGCTTCCTCTAATCATGAAGCATGCTATGTTTTCAAAATATTTAAACTTTTCCGCAACTCTGTCAGAAAACTAATAAGAAATACTTTTATTTTCTGATCTCCAGAAGGAAGCACTTATATAAAGACTCCCAGCCTTTAACCATGCATCATGTGCCATAATAAATATTAGGCCATTTTCTGGACTAAATGAGAAACATGTATGAAAAAAAGCAATGGAAGAAATAATAAATAAAGGAAATATTATTCGCAAAAATACAAGGCTATCATCAGTCAACCTAACAAGTATCATGCTCTCCTTGCATACCGAAAATGTGTTACGACTATTACAAAAAACAGAAGGAAAAAACATATGGATGAACCGTCCCCTTCCCTTCAGACTAATTGAAAGAAGCCAAGCAGCTTGAGTAACTACTAGAGAATTGAGCTACACAGCTGATCTTACCAGAAACTTCTTATTCTATCCTGCGTAAAAAATCTACCAAAAGGCACCTTCTGATATGAGAATATTAATGTTAAACTGAAATTCGCTACACTATACTTTGCACCCTTCGATAGGACCCTGTGGCAGCTGCAAGTGAGAAGTTACTACTTGAAACAGTTAAACCTCAACTAAACCAAATCTCATTAGTTAAACCAATAAGTTTTCGAGCATCTATAGCTTCATAATGACTTTAGTATACACATCAGGCCGGATTGGCATGTCAGAGGAGTATTCTTTGCATTATTTATATTCCCTCTAGCCACACCGTTCAAAAGCCAGAAGAAGGATAAATAATAAGTTTGTAAGCTTCATAGAACGACTTGACAAAAGAACTGATTTCCCATGGAAGGTGGGCAGTTTTCATTTCCATCCTGCCATCCTTCTTTCAATTTTCTGTATGAGATCTTTTGCATCTAACTTTGTAATTTAGCCATGGTAAGCCATGGTAAGTGGAATCCCAAATCAGCAGTAGGAATGCCCTACAGCTCACAGCCAATGAACATAACTGGCATCCTAACCCCCCCTCCCTTCAACCTTTAGTCCCACAATCAACTCGAGGCCATTGCCTAATGCCCTCCTTCCAATATCAGTAGACATGTCTCTCCCAGATGGAGCATTGACTTTACTTTAAAGAAAATCCTCCAAAATGTACTGAGAAGTCAGTGAAAAGTAGCGAATTACGGTGGATATAAAGAGAAAGGTTGAAGCTAAGAATCAATAACTGCTGAACCAGGTAGACAGTGATAGAGGGAATGTCTCAACAGTGGAAAGAACATTTTGCATCAACTGTTGAGAGGAGGGACATAGGCGGAAGTTTTTTCAAAACACACTGCTTGATCCATGGGGAAGTTAATCATAGGAAGAGTCCCAGAGGCCCAAGAAGAAACCTTTGAGTCAGTACAAAAAATATTTATCTATTAATAATACGAAGGAATGAAAATACAGTGACAAACAGGAAATGAAAAAACCTTCTACATGTGAAATGAACCTCCAGGTTACTTTCTATTAATGCACTTTTCAGTGAAGAGGGTGTGACAGGAATGCTGCAGGATTTTCAAAGGAAAAGCTACAGTGAAAGGATCTGAATAGACAAAAGGGAAAGGGTTCTCACCTCCATGGGATCTGAGAATACGAGAATATTTTTCACAATTATCCGTCAATCTATTGTAAACCATGGGATCAGCCTTTTCTTGACAACATTGTATAATAGACAAATTCTCACTAGGTTCAGAGGATCAGCCAAATCCCTAAATAAATCTAGCTATATAAACCATGAAGTTACAATATTGACCAAAAGTTTAGTCGATTCCAATTAGCATTCTATGAAAGACTAGGTGATAAGAATGTAAAAAGCAAGATGACAGCTTGATTCGTTGGAATTTCGACTCAGTTCTCATCACAGATGTTCTAATGAGAATATTATCAGAACTAATACAGGAAAATTTAAAATTTGTAATGCTACCTGATAAGTTACTGGATGTACATATCACAGAACATCATAAACAGTAATTTCCCAGAGTTTGCCTTATTGAATGAGTATAAGATATAAACCATGCGAATAATGAGAAGATAAACTGAACATTATCAGAACATGTGATACCATAATGGAACTAGTTTTACGAAAAATGGTTGCAGAAATCAAACAGGCATGTAACATGTCAACTAGCTGTGACAATTTTTATTGATTTCAGTATTGCACTCCTTCCTCTTCCAGGACTGACCACTAATACATACACTACCTTTCATTATAAAAAAAATTAAAGAAAACATTTTAAATATGGGATATTTGGCCACTATATATTAAATTTAGACAGTAATATGCAAAGTTCTCTACCTCCTTGCGTGTTTTACTATCAACAAATTCGACTGAAATGTTGCATGGTGGCTTGAAAGCTCCAACAATGTAATTCTGGGGTAAGCAAACAAACCAGAAGTTAAAAAATGAAAAACAGCTTTACTTATGTAAAATTTAAATTCATATATGTTAGATCAAGAGTTAACAAATACGGATGTAAGATTGAGCATGATCACATCGTGTATTGAATGATCTAAGAAAGAAAAGCAACACAAATACTAGTAATTGCCGTGATAAATTTCTATAAAAGAAGGTAACGAGAAATATTCACCTAATAGTAATTATTAACTCCAAGGGCAGGGGCACGCATTATTGATATCCTAACTATATTTGTGATAATGTAAACCATATATTGATCAATAGATTTGAAGCATTTTTAAGTCACCTAGACAATTAGATATGCCCTATATGTGAACATTTTGAATTATCCCAGCCACTTGTCCAAAATTGTCACAGTTGATGTTTTATATCTCAATACAATAGCCAACAAATGGCATATTTCAGTAGTTTAAACAGCCATTTAAATGTTTGGAAAGAAATCGTGCTGTAGATCTGATGTAGCTCTTTCATGTAACTTTTCCTCATAGAAAAATAGCCTCTAGACCATGTTGATTGTTTAAAGAGCAATCCAAACCTAAGGATATACTAGTTATCTGAGAAATAGACATGTAAAACGAAGAAGACGATGAGGGCGCGCAGAGATTCAAGACCTTACCATGGCTTCTTGCTACAGCTGATCCAGCGACTGCGAACAGAAGTCAGAACGAAAGGGCATACACCCCTGCACACATGTACCAAAATAGACAAAATCACAAGTGCAGCTGCAATAATAGCACGATATCCCACAAAGAAAAAAACGATGGGACAAACCAGGAAGATTTATGGAACGATCAACTCGGACAACCACAATTTGAAGAGAATCAAACCCAGAACGGAGATCGCACGAATCAAATGCCCCTAGCATCGAAAGGAGGCCAAATGGGTGCAGACTCCAATGAGATCGAGTCTGCTATTCTGCCGAGAAATCTCAAGCGGATTACGGAATTAAAAAACAAGCCTGGACTCGCTTAAGCCCACCTCTTCAATTCTCCCCTCCCGCTGCCGGTTCTGACAGCAGCGGTGCTGCGCGTGCACCAGAGAGAGATCACTGTGAGCAATGGAGATCGATAGAGAGAGAGAGAGAGAGAGAGAGAGAGTTGAGACGCCAGACCTCCGCTACCAGTCTGTTTGTTCTCGTTGTGAGAAAAGTTATAAACATAAAAAAAATGAATTAATAATTATTGACTTATCTCGTTTTAACTCCCCCAAACTAATTAAATTACTATTAGACCCTATGATTTCAAGTTTACACTTGTACCCTCAAAAAAGTTTTAACTTATTTATTTTCCATCCCTTCGGTCTAATAAAGAAATACTGCTATGTGAGTATTTTTTTGAAGTGGCGTTTTCTATTTAATATAATTTATTATAAGTAATTAGTGACTAATATGATAGTTTCTGACGGACCGAAAATATCATTTTAAAAAGGGAATTACCCATATTTCTAGTAGTTCGTAAGAAGTAAGAGCAGAGGTGTAAACCTCCAATTATTCCATTTAGTAAGGTGAGACTGTAATTTCTCACAGCCTCACCATTATTGACGAAAACAACGTCCAAAATTTCACAATTTCTACACATTTGAGACCATTAAATACATAAATATGCAAAACTATGTTGTAATTCCCATGCAATATACCTTTGTTAATATAATGGCAATTTAAAAACTCAGTAATAAATTGCAAAAATAGATAAAAAGTGTTAATTAAGAAATATACACCGTCTTGACGCCATGTAATGACTCTAGCTAGTAGAGAGGGTCACTACATTTGGAATAGTCAAACTAAACCTAATTGAGGTCAAACTTAGCCTGATTCTTCCTAAAGTGGGCTAAAATGGGAATTGTGAAAATGGGGTGACTAAGCATTTTTCACAATTATTCTTCCTTTTTTATAAAAAATTGGGTATGGAAGTGCAATGTGTCGAGTCACCCTCGTCCCCTTCACCCTCTCTTTCTAGTCGTAACTTGCCCAATAAAAACCACTTATTGAAGAAATTCAGCAAGCTATCTCCTGCTCTTACTCATAATAGTTCTCTCACTAGTTGCCTTAGGATAAAATCAACCCACCCCCTCATCTCATTCTTTATTTTCTATTAAAATGCCTCACAAAGCAAAGACTTCTTTATAAACTTAAATTTCTAAAAATCCTCAATAATCGGAATAAATGGAACATGTGAAAAAATCAAACCACATATTCTTCATCATAATCTAACTCATTTGCTCAAAATAGATGGCCCATTTTTTAGCAGGAGATACTTATTATTTAATAATTCAGTTTTAGACACAAAAATTGTCCAGATAATTATTTGGAAATTAGCATTTAACATTAAGGGCTTAATGAATGGTACTTGGGTCCAATATAAGCTAATGAATTTTTTACAAAGTTTCTTCGGAATAGTTTTAAAAAATAATGCAAAATTAATATGAACATAATATGTGAAAAGAGAGATTATAACTCCACCCTTTATGTTGTTGTCTTTTAAGATGAGGGCAAGGCTCCTCTTGAGACCAACAGTGTAGATTGGTTTATTCCCTATCTCATGTCTATTTGATGTCCCACGTGTTTGTTCATAAACAAGGAAAAAGTAAAATAGACATCCAAAATTAGATTTTCTCATGATATTACTTTATAATATGAAAATTCACGTTTATCTTTAAATTCTAGAAAAAGTAAATATTAATGTTCTGCAAGATCAATTAGTATTTTAAAATTGAGAAAATAACCCATCATTTATCACATCACAACTTTCATGTAAATATCTCCTTTATTTGGTCAATATATAGAAGTATGGTTGATGAATGGAATTTTTTCTGATTCCCCGATGAAGATAACGGCTGAAAATAATTTTAACTTATAAATAGTAAGTTAATTGCTTGACATGCTAAGCATAGTTTTCAACACAAGGACTGCTATAGGATTCCATCTCGTCTTCTATGTACATATAGCATAAGAGATTATAGAGCTTGTCTACCTTATTATGTGGATAATCCATAGTTATTAGGAGAGCCTTGTTGTGACCTGATAGTAATGGGGAACCATATCGACTTTTAGGTCCTATTTTGCCTTTGTAAAAATTTGGCCACTATATAATATGATTGACCTAATAGCGAACAAGTAACATATTACTAATATATCAGAAAAAAAATAGTTCTTATGTTGGTCCCAAACATAATGGGACAGAAGCTCAACATTTCAAATTAAGTTAAGGGAATATGCCCATACTTTTAATACGATTTATTTTATATTAATCAATGGTAAATCGCCCTCAAACTTTGGGGGGGCCTATTACCATCCCATGTAATCCACACGTATGTGACAAAGAGGCTTCTCCATATTATTTTGGGATTTTAGAGAAAAAAATTAAAAATATTATGCTTTTAATACTTCCTCTTTCATATTATTTTCAAGTGTCGAACATATTTTTTTCTTCAATTTTCAAATTTTTTTTTTTTTTTTTTTGTTGGGCACCATTCATCCAGCGGTGGTCTGAGGGAGGGCCTCGTTACACCGCCGCCGCTAAGGTCGTGTCCTTTCTTTCTGCTTCACGGCTGAAATAGGGTAGTCTCCCAGCGGGATGGCGGAGAAGGCGAGTCGGCACTCACCGGTGTCGGAAAAGGAGACTACTCGCCGCGCCGACGACGACTTCGACTGCACTTCTCACTGTCATCCACGAGCTCTCCTCCCATGGAAGAAAATCAGGCGCAGGAGAGAGTGGAACGCCGCAGCTTGTCAGTCGTCGTAGACGCTCGGCCATAGAATCCGAGGAGAAATCCTCAGCATGGGGGTTGGCCGGAAGCCCCTCCTCCACCTCCGGTTCCTCCTCTTCCGCTACCCAGAATCCCCAATCGAGAGCGCTCCTGGGAGAAGCTTTCGTCTCCGGTCCCGACGACCCACCGGCGGCGAACTGGCCCTCACAGTTGACGAAAGGATGACGAAGCAGCTCCTCCGCCGACCACCGTTCCTCTGGTTCCCTCCGGAGGCACCTCCCCAAGAAGTCCACGGCCTCTCCGGAGACGTTGGGGGGGAATTCCGGCACGTCGCCGGAGAAGGCGATTCTGTGCATGGCGGCGACTGGGTCGGTCACGTTGGGCCACGCCCGCTTCCCCGTCATCATCTCCACGACCGTGCACCCGAGAGCCCATATGTCCGCCGCCGCCCCCTGCTGCTCCCCTCTGGCCACCTCGGGCGGCATGTACAGCGGAGTACCCGAGATGGCTTCGTCGCCTCCGTCGACCCACCTGGCGCAACCCAGGTCGGCGATCTTCACGGTGGCGTCGCCACCGGAGCCGAGGAGGAGGATGTTCTCCCCCTTGACGTCGCAGTGGGCGATTCCGGCGGAGTGGAGGTAAGCCAGGCCGGAGAGGATCCCCCTGGTGTATCCTCTGACGGCGGGCTCGTCGAGTGGTCCGCTGCGCTTGATCTCCTCCGAGAGGTCGCCGCCGGGGACGTACTCCATGGCCAGGTTGAAGAAGATCCTGCCGCCGGGCTCGGAAGTGATGGTGGCGCCGAGGGAGGCGACCAGGTGGGGGTTGCTGAGAGAAGAGAGCATCGCGTGCTCTCTCTGCAGGGAGGTGGACCGGGAGAGCTCCGTCGACTTTAGGGCGAAGGTCTGCTGCGTTCGGCCAGCGGCGGAGGAGGAGGAGGTGGTGGTGGTGGCGAGGTAGACCGTTGCGGTGGAGCCCTGTCCAATGGCCGGACCGCGCAGCCACCCGCTGGCGGCCATGGGCGGAGGGATCAGGGGTGGGTTTGGAGACGATGGGAGGAGGGAAAGGGTGCACTCGAGTTAATGAACCCGGCGAGGCTGGTAGAGGGGAGAGAGAGAGAGAGGACTTGATGGTCCACAAGGTTTGACTGTCCCATAATGGGCAGCGTCAACGCTCCGCACCATCAAAAAGGGGGAGAATAATAGCCGCCTGCCTTTGCAAACTGGTTGCAGCTGTAGATATATAAATATATAGAGGGAGAGAGGGAGAGAGGGAGAGAGGGAGAGAGGGAGAGAGAGAGACAGAGAGAGAGACAGAGACAGAGAGAGAGACAGAGAGAGAGAGAGAGAGAGAGAGAGAGAGAGCACCATCAAGAAGGCGGCTTCAACCCTCACACACCATCAAAATCCAGAAGGGAAGGGAAGCGGGGCATTAAAGCACACAGATAGCCACCCAGACCACAAACATCTCTCTCTCTCTCTCTCCCCATCTTACTCTCTCTCCAGACTTAGCTTGCCCCTGCAACACTAGATAACCTCTTCATTCTCTGTAGACTAGTGCAATATCGACCATATCTTTTCGTAAGTAATACATTCATTAATTTCCTCCCACACCAATTGAGAAAAAGCGGTTACGAGTCTCATGGTGCATCGATTAAAGCAGTCCGGTCTCCCTATCTACACTGGTGGTTCATCCCTTCCGGACCTCCATGTGGACATCTCTCTCTCTCCTTTCCTCTCTCTCTCTCTCTCTCGCTACGTAGATAAAGGTGTCTCTTCCCTTCAATCTATCTCAATGTCTAAACGGAGTACCTTACTCGCACCCTGATGCTTTAATTGCACTTACCTCTCTCTCTATCAGAAGTAAACCCTATTTATTATTGTCTGTAATAAAATATAATATATCCATTATATTTTGCACTTCCTTCTCAAGCTTCGGCCCCCATGCCATTCCTCTCTCTCTCTCCACCGTCCATTGGTTTATCCATTGAGCGTCTCCAAGATACTCTTCTGATTCAATTCCATGGCCTGGATGAGCTAAACGGGACTCTCTCAGTTTATATGTCTTAATGTAAATAAATATATATCTACAAGTAATCTACATATATACATATATAAATAAATAAATTAATATGCACAAATTATATTTCAGATAATCTCACAGGTATATATTTAGCAGCTAATAATGATGCTACTTTAATATGCACATAAACAAGGTCACCTTTAGCCTATTGATTTTTACATAAGTTCCCTTGCTAGTTTGAAGACTAACTAATATTTAAACTATTAAATTTATATCTTAATTGATTCATAAGCCCCTACGATCTTCTCCTCATCACCTCTTCTATTGCCTTTTGGAGCTATTCATCCTTTTTTGATGGTAGGTAAACAAAACTAAGGGCAAGATGATAACTTAGTTTGTAAATTTATGCAGCATGAAGACTGAAACCTTGGCAATATATTGATCCTTGTCAAAGCCTCATGTCAATGTATGATAAACTTGCAAGTGGATTTGTATTTTTTCTGATTATAGGAAAAGATAACTCATATTGTGTGAAGATATTTATGCTCTTGATGATCATGATACTGCATGGTTCAATGAAGGTAAGGATAAAATTCCAATTTTACATTTCCAAGTTATGGTACAGGACTATTAAATTGCTAACATGATGATATACCAACCATTGTCAAGGCTCCATGGGAATTTATGATTAATTGCAAATGAAAGTGCAAGCATTTTCTTGTGTTGTTCATGAAGAGTCAAGTCACCTCCTAGTATGAAAAAAGTTACACTCTCAAGAAAGTCATACTGCATAGTAAAATGAATAAAATAAATATGCCACAATACTTAGAAAGTAGATGTTAGTAGATATTTGTGACATCAGAAGGAACTAAAATGGTGTGATTTTAGAAATCTATAAAATTTTCTAATATCTTCATTTCAATTCACACAAGAATTGTAGTGATTCAGTCTATCTTACCTACCCTACTATCTAAGGATCATGTCCTTAGGTTCTACTAAATTTTTATTGTTTTAAACTGAATACTAAGACTTTCCCTTGATTTAACAGCTCCAACAGACTCATGCATTTCACTAAAAAACATTATTATAGACTTATAGCTATGTGGGGGCAGCTAGACAAGCACCTGACTAATTGTTATTATAGATTTTATCTTCTAGATTCATGAGTCTGGGGGCAGGTTATATGAACATCTACCTAATTCCTTCTATATTAACAACTATAGGTAAGCTAGAATATTAAAAGTACTCTATTAAAAAGTGAATGAATTATCATTCTAATCTTGACAACTCTATTGGTCCTTGAATGACCAGGCTAATGTGTAGAGTAACAAGGTGAATCTATACATTTGGATGTTTATGGTAACTTACTAATCTTGAATTAATTTTTTAATTGTGATTAAAATCACATAAAATTATGCAATAAAAATTGGTGCTTGTAGGTACAATTTATTTTTGTCAGTTTCAATCGATCATAATCAATTAGCTTAGTCAAGAGATTAAAATTTATACTAGTTTGGCCACATAAGCCTATGTGCACTATCTAAGGATCATTACCTCTTGGTTTCATTATTATTTTCCTTAGAATATAGTTGATAAAATCATGATCAACAACCCCCCTTGCAATATAGACTCCACAAGTCTAGTTAACCACACTAGAAACTAAGATTCTAGTAATCTTTTCAACTGCATTGTAGACACACAACAAGTGACTTAATGCAATAAAAAAGATAATCAATGAACACACAATGAAATTGAATGACTTCAGCTTATTATCACCTCCAAGATTCATTGTCAATTTCAGCTTAGATGTTTTACAAGTTGGTGGTCATTGAATGGATGGGCTGCTGGAGATTTGTTGATGACGATGAAGCTCATTCATAGGATCTTCAACTAGATTTCTTTACAAGTGGATATAAGAGCTCATGCAATATCTCTATTTATTTATTTTCATTGACCCTTATTTTGGGAAAGACTACACTTTTATGCTTTGCATGGTGGGCTTGGCTTTCTAATAAGTGATTTTATTAATAGGTTTTATATCATAACATGCCACCAAAAGGGACGTGAACTAATAAGATTATAATTGTGTTCTCTTGTTCTTAGTTTGATACTTCTCTTAGGTTTCTAAGATCAAGGCTCGTGTAAGAAGTATATCACATACTATTTTTTTTAGGTTTAATCACCTAACTTCACTCTCCGAGTATCATTTATGCTCTATTTCCTTAGATTCTACTAAATATTTGAGTTAAATGCACACTTAATCATTACATTCAAGAGCCAAAATACTAGTTTTAATAGCTCCAACCTGTTTAGGATTTCACTCAAGAACTCTCTACTAAATCGAAGTAATGCTAATACAGATGATTGTAAGGTTTGGGCTTGAATGCACAAAGTATAAATCTTGAAGAAAAGATCAAGTTTTGTATTGAAAATTTTGGAAACTTCAACCTTTGAATCTATACAAGAGGTAACATTGAATTCAAAAAATCAAAAAGTGACTTTTAAATTGACAAGGGGTGGTGGAATTTACAAACAAGGAGAAGGTGATCTTATAGGGGAGAAAAAATTATATTACTTTAAATAAATCCTTCATGTTACAATTGAGGCCTATATTTAGGCCTAAAAAAAATGGTGGAATGCTCCCAAAAAAGGAAGATCCTAAATAATTCTCAGAATATACTTTGACATATTCTGAAACATTCTAAAAAAAACTATGATAGACTTAATATTTAACATATGTTGAGGCTCAATTACTTTTAAGCTGTCTTTTAGAAATGTTATCTTCATGATCCAATTTTAAAGTGATTGGACCTCTAATTTATATATTTTCATAAGTATGAAAGCACATAAATATGCTCCAAAGTATTTTTAAGATAATCTAAAGGGATGAGGAAATTTGAGTGTCTAAATTCGATTAGTATTTAACAATGCAATTCCTTTTGATTGAATTCGGGTTAATGAGGAGATATATATTTATTATTACAAAAGGGGCTGAGGTTAAACAAATATTGAAAAGGCTAATGCTCTTAAATTTAATGAAGATATTGGATTTCTTTAGTTGGCGATATATTAAAGATTTATTAGATCTAAGATAAATAAAACTCTTTAAAATTGGATTAGAACCTTAGAACTGAAACTAAACACAATTTTACCATATATGTGATTAAAATTGAACCTTAATGATAGTTTAGAGCATCTAGGATTAAAATCTAAATCAAATGACCATATTTGTGATTAGATTTGAAATCGTAGCATTACTTTATATCTTTGCAATTAAATAAAATCAGAAAGACAATTTTCTCACCCTTGAAATAGAAAAAAATAATTTTAATACCTAACCCAAAGCCCATCTAATAAGCCATTTTATTTATGTGATATTAAACCCAGAAAAAAACCTAATATCTCTAATTTTTTTCAATACCACCACCTTCCTCCTAGGAGTCTAAGCCCTAGTGATGTTGTATCCTTGGCCATATAAAAATATTGAAAATCAATCACTAACTCAAGCTCTTCAACAATTGTTTCACACCAAAGCTTACTCAATAAGCAATCAAATAATCAAAGCCTTTGAGAAGTTATAAGTTGAATGACAAACATGGTAACTTGATTTAACTTTCTATTTAGAGTGTGTAGTTACTCAAAGGTCCATTTACACTGTAAATCTAGAGGAGGCTAAATGTGGCTAATCTTATTGGCCTCCTAGAGACATGAACCTAGAAGAGGAATAGGTTTCATTTGGTTAGGTCGCTTAGAGGAGTGAACTCTCAAAGGGGTTTTAAAAATCATGACTTAGATTTTTATAGCTTGGCCACCAATCATTTTTGTACCTTGGAATTAAGAGTGAAAGTCTCAAGGAAAATAGTGAAACCCAAGAACAATGTCCTTGGAAAGTGGATGTAGGTCCAGAGGACATAACCTCATAAATATGTGATGTAAATGTGTTGATAATTTCTTTAGGCACAAGGAATAACTTTGTGAAAAGAAAAGAATCACATATAAAAAATAAGATTAATTCAACTCCACCCCCACCCCCCCCTCTTAATATCATGCCACCACTTAAACATTGTCAAATTCACATAACCAAGGGCAACGTTTAATCTTGACATAGATATTAAGTTGGGCTGATGCTACATATCATGGATTTAGTAAAATTGACATCGTAGAGCAAAAAAATACATTTATGTCATGTAGATGAGCCATGCTACTGGAATTTACTAAAAAGGGTTATGAGAATAATTTATAAAATTAGACAACATTTATTAAATGAACCCATATTAAATTTTACAATAAATTGAGTTGTATAGATTATGGCTACATAGATGAATCCAAAAGAAAAATATATATACATAGAGAACATTTATTAAATTAGTCAAACAAGCAACACTTTACAAGATAAATTCATCATAAATAAACTCCCTTCATGCATTTGGAGGAGACATGAATCATAGTCACTGGCTAGCCAAGAAGGAGACTGCCAAGGAGGTCGGTGTCCTCATGATCAAGCTTTCTTGGTGGAATGGCTGTTCAACCAAGAGATGATGTCATCCAGAACTTTAAAGATCATCTCATCAGATTCTCCTTCAAGAAGCGCATGATACGCATCCTTGTACAGTTGGAGATGTTTATCAGGGCTTCTCGCCTTCACATACAAAGCCTTGCTGACAGAGGGATCAGTCACAATATCTGCTTCACCATGAAGGATGAGAAGGGGAAGAGAAACCTGAAATAGGCAAGAATCCTTCTTCATAAGTTTGCCAAAATAATCAAAATAAATTGGACCTTGGGGACAGCTAAGATCTTGTCACGTAATTCCAATAGAAACCCCAGCAATTCAACCCAAAAGTTGGCTAAATTAGGCACGGAATCAAACACAAAATGAGGAGCTGAGAAATCATGTTAATTAATCAAACTATTCAACTCAAAATTTATTGAGAACCAAGAGAGTAGGCCCGTATTTTTTAATTATAGGATTTAATTCTTCCACATGAAGCATGGGATGATACTATTATAAGAGGCGGGGGCCCTCACATGAAGCTAAACACAAGCTGGAGCACGATTTCATTGGCTTATTAGATAGATTTGAATAAATATTTTTGTTGAATAAAGTTAATGCTTATGAAGTAGTCAAAAAATAGCAAGTCAATACCTCCTCAAGCCTGCTCTCTATTTCCTGCGTGGTTCTGAGAAGCTCTACTGCAGTCCTAAGGCGTGGCTTATCCTTGTAAGCAATGACATTAAATGAAGTCTGTCAAGAGACAGGAAGCCACAAATTAGAATTGCCAAAGTGAGAATGGTCATGCTCAATTTCACACAGGGCAGCCCAAATGAGTATTACTAATTCAAGTATGACACCAGATTGTCCATATGAGAATGATTATGCCCAGATGAGTATGATTATGTTAAAACTTACACCGGATTACCAAGATGATAATTGCTCCAAAAATTACTATTAAGCCCAAATATCACACTATGGTAAATATCACACTTGAGTACCAAGATGAAAGTCCTCCAATAAGTATGCTTGGACCCCAAATAGGTATGATTATATTTTAAAGATCATCCTGGACTTCCCAGATGAAAATGTCTCAAAAAGTATGATTATGCCCAAATGAGGATGCCCCAATAGCATGGTTATGATATTATACCATACTCGATTGCCCACATGAGAATGCTTCAGTAAGTATGATTATGCTTAAATAAGCATGATTAATCCGTCTAGTGAGAAATCTACAGAATTCAGATTTGGGTTTTACCACCTGATCTCTCTTCTTCAAGTCTTTGAACGCCACCTCAGCTAAATCCTTCTGTGGAACTAGCTTTTGCCTTGGAAACATTTTTGCCATGGTGATCAGGATAGTCACCAATGGCCATGGTGGAATCATATCCTCTGCAATCTACTAAAATTATCCACTCTTAGTTATTATGACTGAGGATCACATGGCCAAGTGATTACGTGAAATAAAAGAAGAAAGAACCTACTTTGCACATTGGGGCAACGAGGACAGCGCCATCCCATGGAAGGCCCTGCTTCAGGTGAACCTTCAGGGCTACAGCTCCACCCATAGACTGGCCGAATAGGAAGCTTGGGATACCCTTGTACTCGGGTTTTTCTGTCAATTTCCAGCAAGATAAAGAACAGTCTTTCAGGCCTCAACATACTCATTATTTAAGATTTAAGGATCAATCTGAATAATAATAATAATAATAATAATAATAATAATAATAATAATAAAGATATTTTTTTTCCGGAGATTAGCATCATGCCAGATATATGTTTGGTTTCGATGTAGGAAATTGCAACATCAGTTCAAAGATACCATATGGATTCTGAACAATATTTACCCATCGATTTCCCTAAAACCTAATCGTTATAAGTAACACGTTTAGACAATTAGTATAGACATTTTATATGTGAAAACTAGTAAGCTGCGGTTTTCAGAATTGATGGAGGCAGGCATTTGATTAACTAGCGAAGATTAGGAGTATCATGAGCTGTTGATGCATCTGTGGAAAAACATGTCTTCATTACACACCTCCAATGATTATAAACGAACCCTTGAAGCTTCATGGATGACACATCTCACCACACAGAAGAGAAGTAGAAGAAAAAGGGAGCTGACAGCAACCATGCGACCCAAGGAGCAATAAGTCCTACCCAGTTCCGTTTTTCTTTACCAAGAAGGATTCAACCATCCTTTAGGGTTTTTCATACGTATTTAAAATACATAGTCCAGCTTTCCAGAAAATTCTTCTCATTACTATCTGAAATAGGTGGCAGTTGAAAGCTAAATCATTGTACAATAGAACATGAGTACTCTTGGAGATCTTTGGAATCAATTCAGCAATTAAAACTGACTGAAGGACATAACGCTCAAAGGGGAAAATGCTCGGAAAAATAAACTTGTAAATAGTAAAAAAAATCATTGTCAAACATACCAGAGCATCCCTTTCTTTAGTATTAAAAGAAATATGCTTACGGTTTAGAAATGTTATGCAAAAGATTAAATAGGAAGTAGATAAAATATTAAAATAAAAGTCTACAAAAAGTAACCTTTGACTTTTGAGAAATGCTCGATAACATCATCAACCAGATTGTCAAAACTCTCAATGTAACCATGCAGTCCATCTGAGAGGCCAAATCCAGGGTAGTCCATCGCAAAAAATCCAAATCCAGAAGATACTAATTTCCTCGCAATTCCTGAGGACAATGTATCCATTAAACTGAATATCAAAATTATGAAAGAACCCAATTGCTTTATTTGTATAGATTTCAGTTCTAATAGCCAATATGGGACTGTTATTTGACATCTGAACATTAAAGAATCATACCTTCAACGAAGAACGTACAAGTGTCTCCATACCCATGGCAGAAGAAAACAAGAGCATTTATTCTAGAGTCTTCTGGAAGCCAGCTCTTGGAGAAAATTTCCAATCCTCTGGAATTCACTTCATAGGACTGCATGAAATCAAAATATTCCACTAGCATTAGAATGACATCACCATTATTGAAAGGATATTTTTAATTAAATAAAGTATTATTCACAAAATCGGCAGGCTTAAGAGGGGCAGTCCTATGGCACTTTACTTTTTAATCAGTAAACTGGTTGATGTGGTGCAATAATCCTTGATGGGAAATCATCTAACACAATAAAAATAAAATAAAAATAAAAAGGTGGAGCAGAGTTTGCACCTCCTGTGATTTTATTCCCAAATACTGCTGCTGCAAATGAGAAAGAAAAATGAAAAAAATCAGCAGCTATCTAAAAGTAATTATAACATGAAGGGTGACCTCACCAGTGCAAGAACGTTGAAACATGCAGAGCAGGCTGGCATATGGACTATAATCGAAAGATAGAAAAAAAATAGCATAAACCAACGAAGCTCAATATAATCTGAAAAACTTGGGAAGGAAAGTACACCATATCCTTGATCCAGGAAAGCCTAGTTTTAGTAAATATTCAACTCAAAATTGGTTTCAAAAGTATCAAAATTTTATTTCGAGCCGAAGCAATTGACCTCTTATAAGAGGAAAGAAACCCAACCTATCACAGGAATCATCACTACTTCCGAACAAGGGAAAAATACCTTAAGGGAATATAGGATAATAGACCATATTTTTGAAGACCAAACGAGAGAAATAGGCTCTGGTGTTCCATCACGCAAAAATTGAAAAAGTAAAAAAAATAAAAATCATAATTTTCGAAGTGCATAATGTCTTTGCCATATTACTAGCGGGAACAAGCTTTTGAATAATATTATTAATCTTCTTGTCAATAGAAAGACAGTCTTTTACTTATATGAACGAGGAACCAATATATTCAACGCTGTATAATCCTACTATTTCACATTAGATTAGTTCATACGCTCATAAAAGTCAGTAAAACTGAACTTTGGGGTTGGAAACATGTTTTTTAGCATAAAGGTGAGTTAAGGCGTTTATTTTTTATAGTCCAGTGATTAGATGTGGTTTCAGAAAACATTTATTTTTGCAATGACTTTTAATGATTACTGACATCAATTTAATATTTTCTATCTAAGTGACAATATCAGAGGGACCCAGAATTCCTATTCAATACGAACCCAGTAAAAGTTCCCAAGAGGAGCCATCACCATTAATTAATGACCACGAGGACACCAAAAGGAAAAGGAAAAGGAAATGGAAATATCATGGAAGGAAGGCCTAGTTGTGGTGATGATGATCATTTGAGGAAACGGAAGCACGGTCATAGAGAGGCTTGTAATGGTGTGGATCCAGAAAGACCGCGGTTTTCAGGATTATAGAGTTGGATGAGGATTTGGAGAAGGAAGAGGCGTGATCACCTTGAAGAGGCAGTGATCAATGCCCAGCTGGACGTCCTTGAAGGCTTCGCGGAGCCGCCTCCTCTCGGAGGCCTGGTCCAGGTTGACCGTTGCGGCCATCCTGGCGAGGCCCTCCTCAATCCCCTCTAATCCCATCGAGGCAGCGGCGGCGGCGGCGGCGGCGGCGACGACTCCGCTCCGGCCCTTCTCTTCGCCGGTCCTCTTCTCCCTGGCCGCCTTCCTCACGCAACAAGAGAACCCAATCTTAGAGGCCGAATCTATACAAGCACGCCGGGGTAAACTAGACAGCGAGAAAAGACGCTGAGGCCGAGAGAGAGAGAGAGGGTACCTTATATAGTAAATGGTGAGGAGAAAAGGAGAGGAGATGGTGATGGGGTAGCACACCGTGGGGAAACCGGCACGTTTGAGGTTGAGGTATCCGCTTTGGGAAAAGCAGCACCTTTGATGACGCCATCACCCTCCCGGAGCCCGCGGCAAGCGTGGAACAAGACGACGGAGGCGATGCAGTGGGCAGAGGCGCAGCGCAGATATTTTTCACCTTGGAGAGGTATTCTACGAGGAGAGAGACAAAGGACGAGTAAACGCGGACATCGGTGAGCTAAGAGAGAGGAGGGGCAGGAAGGAGAGCCAGAGAGAGAAATTGATGGGGTGGCAAAGGATAATCGACAGAAGGGCTTGATCGGTCCATCGGGTGATGCGAGGACCAATGGCAACAGGACGCGAGTCGAGAAGTTTCACTTTTAACTGTTGCATCGCGCCGCCGGCGTTCCGTCGGACACGTGAAATAAATTCATCGATGGTCAACGTAGTCGACTGCGGACCCCACACGGCCTTCTAACTCGAGCTCCGGGACCAGAGAAAAATCAAAGAACCAACTGAAGGTTGGGTCCAAAACACTGAATTCCGCGCCAGGGTTGACCAGGTTTTTAGAGAGACGAGGGACACGGAGTTACCCACGGAGTTGCCAAATGGAGTCGATACGGAACCAACCAAGTCTTGAGCTCTGCCATATTTGCGTAAAATTATCGTTACATGATATTACCCCTTAAGATCTTAAATAATCCATTTTGATAAAATTAAAAATTAAAAATTAAAAATAACTTCAAAAATTCAAAAAATAACCTTTCTCTTCTTTCAACTTGATTGTGCTTGAGATACCTTGCTAAGGAGGTGAGTCTCTAGCGAAAGTGATTAGGGTTTGGTTTGACCCTTGCCTATGGATGTTTAAATCCGTCAATGTCAACAACTACTAGTAGTCTCTTGATCTAAATTACTATTAAGAAAACAGAATAAAAATATATTTAATAAACCAAGTTTTTTATTCACAACCAAAATTAAAAATAATTTTCCCTGTATCTAAGAGAAAAAGTGGTCTTACTAACCTTAGATCTTGGCGAAGGATCAGAAGATTCTTTGCTTCTACCTGAACCTTGTAGAAAAAATTGAGAACTAAAATTGTATTTTGCCCTTCTTCACCATGATTTCATGAGCTGTGTTATCAATATTATCATAATCTACTCAACAATCTCTAATATAGGGGTTCAAATGATTTTTGACAATATACTAATCACACTTTGGTTATAACAACAAGTTATTGACTTCGAATTTAAAATTTTAGTTAAAGGGTAAAATAGAAATTCTATATTTATTCATCCCATATCTTAAAGATGACATAACTATAGTTTCAACCTCTATTGAATTCATGAGCTAAAATCATTCAAACCAAAACCCACTGCTTTGTTGTCTATGTAAAGTTCAAGAAATGAATCAAGCTAATTGGTTAGCATTAGGTCAAAGAAGTCAACCCATCTTATGTGACGCAAGCACTACAAGATAAAAGTAGATGCTACATGCTAATCATTTTGACAGTTGCAAGTAATAACTAGAGTAGTTTGGAGTGATATTTTTCAAATTATTTGTGCTTCAAACATTATGAAATGAAGCTCTTTAACTAGCATCTATTGAGCATTCATTCAAGAACCATTTTTGTAATGTCCTTTTACGAGTCTTTTGAGGGATCATAGTGGTAGAAACTATTATTATAAGTTAGGCTTTTAGACATTAAAGGCTATTTGAAAAAAAATATAAATAGAAAATCAGAAAACTAGGATAATATCCCTATTGTTTGACTAGCTAGAGTTATGAATTTGATGTTTGGACCCACTAGGGCTATAAATTTGGTAGTTGACCAAGTATCTTTGTGAGTTAAATTTTTTGGCTTGCTAAAGTTGTAGATCCAAGTTATCTGGTTTGAGTCATGAATATAATGATATAATAGTAAGCTAATTCCTTTGTGTTCAACATGTACTCTAGGAGAGCAGTATAACCTAAGGAAGGTTCCCTTAGAAGAGTGAAGTGAGTAGAGGATTGAAGACACTGTAAAAAGAAATATCACAATATATATATATATATACATGGATTATGTCCTAAAGAAGGGTAGGCTCAGCCAAACCAATCTATCTTGAGGAGTTGGCTTACCTTGTGTTAAAAAAAATCATGCATAAAAACAATAAATCTCAATATTCTCTCAAAAAGGTCAATTCACCTTCCCTCATGGTTATGCTTGGCTCTCATGAGACCAATATAAATCTGTGAATCTATAAATCTCTATATTTGGTCCAAGCTTTCAACATGGTTATGTTATTTTCTCTTCCATATTTCTTTCAAAAAATAATGAAATATATATATAATTTATTTCTGAAGTACACTTCCATATTTCTTTTAACAAGGTTTTTGGCTTGCAAGAGCAAATGAAGAGGTGGCTGAATTTTCTATTTCAGGGAGTGTGCAAAAAAAGGTTCATAGTGGTTTGGTCATTTCTTTACCTATTACACTTCCTCAAACTTTCTTTTAAGGTTTCTTGTCATAGAGACAATGAGGACATACATCCAAAACACACAACCACGTGCAGCCTTGGTTTGCACATTTGACACCCAAGTAGCTTTCTCCCTCTCTAGGGACCTTGTAGAAGCTTTAACTCAAAGGGGAAATCTCTCTTGCTCAATAAAAGAGGTAATACGCTTGACATCACCCTAATATGGTTATTGTACTCTCCTTTTTAAAGGTAAGAGACATAAATGGCTTTTCCCAATATATTCCTCATAGTGTACCTCACTGTTGATGGGTTGTTTTGATGGTGCAGGACAGGATACACATCCCTTAACCACTGCTAGTAATGAGTAATTAAACCTTTATCTTGAAGAGATTGGCTTAATGACACATTTTCCTAAAGTGGGCCTTATCACATCTCTTTAAGGGTGTGACAACTCCCCTTATGTTTTACCAATACCTATTATACTTGGAAACGTTTAGGGTGAGTAGAAAGTTTGACTCTTCAAGCCTAAGGCAAGCTCTCATGTCAACCTTTGTTTTAGAGGGTTGATCCTTATTTTTTCAGCTTGTTCATTTTATTAGATTGGAATTAAGAGTTAATTCCTGAAAAAAGCGACTTAATAAGTTTTTCATCCATGGATGAACTAGAGAATCCATTCTTGCATAAATACCTTCTTACTTTTACATGGTTCAATCATAAAGAGTCAACTTGTACAAAAGCATCTTGTCATGTTTTTCATAGTCAATGGCATCATCTCCTAAGGAACAACTTCTTGGTTTTATCTAGGGTTCAGCCAAAGGTCAACTGTCATAAGTTGACTCCTCTTAAATAGCTACTACAAGAGTAACCTAAAGATAAATGTGTGCATAGTTTACAAGTAACAGTCATAAGTTAGGAAAGTCATCTGTTTGAATTTATAATTCAAGATAGACAACATGCAATCTATATTTATGTAATAAGAATACTAGCCCACAAATCAAGAAAGGTTACCTATCAACACTAAAAGCTATATCTAAACCAAATAGGAAAGTATAAGGTAACAAATTTCCCACCCTACACAACCTGAGGAAGCATACAGACTTGGGGTTCACAAGAACTCTGATGCAATGGATTTTTTTGGTTGGAACTTGCTGTAGAGGATTTTTTTGGCTAAAATCAAACATTCTCCATCATTTTCAGAAACTTCTCATCTCATAACATCTATAAGTCATTACTTCTATAGTCATCAGAGTTTTAACCATGCCAAAATTAAAACCAAGATCATAGGTATCCTCAATCATGTATGTACTTTAGGCTCCTAAGTAACCATGCCCAATCTTCACCAATGTCAACATCCACAATAACATATGTTGCAAGAAATACTAATGATAACTCATTGCGTTGACTACACATCCACTTTAAGTTGACTCTTGTGGATGTTGACTATACATCCATCAATTATCTCATCTTTTTGTCCCTTAGGAAGGTAACAAAATGTCCGGTGTACATGAAATTCTAGGATCTAAGCTTAAGGCAAGTCCTTTGCTGAGTAAAGGATCAAGCTTAGGTCAACAACATCTATTAAAACTTATATAAGAAATCACTTGTACAGCATACACCCTTCTGGACTCACTACATCGTCAAATTATAGTCCTGGATAAGTATTAATGATATGACATAAACAACATACCTAACAAAGTTTTGTTAATAAATAAAATTACATCCATAATTTTCTTGGGTCCCCCATTTCTCAAGCCTCCACAAACATATAGATAGCGAATCCTCTCAGAAGCTAGCAGCAAAGGTAAAGAGAGTAGGGAGTAAGTGTCACAAGGAAGAAGCAGAACACAATGACACATGTGCACCATAGTGAGCACGCGTGGCACGAAGGGCGCACGTAGTATGGCGGGCACATGTGATGAGCACGGCATAGAGGACGCACGCGGCACAGTGGGCGTTCTTGACATGGCGAGCGTGGTTGCGCGCGTGCCCAGCACGACATGTGCATGCACTGGCAGGAACAGCACAGAAGAATTGTAATGGCCCCTGAGCAACGATTGACATGGGAGTCAAGGGCGGTGCAGCGACTACTTTGCAGCCTCCACCCCTAAATAGAGGGGTAATGCCCATTGTACAAGAACAAAAAAGGAATACACTACGGGCTCTGGACATTCTTGGTTCAAACGGGTGCGAGAGACTCGCTGGATGTCGTGGGGGAGCGCACAACTCAGACTTCCCTGGCCATGGTCATTTGGCACAAGAGAGAATGATGCATTCGTCCATAACTCAGCACAAGTCAACAAGTTTTATCTGGATATGCTCCAAGAAAATCTACGTGTCGAAGGTTGCAAGTCAAAGAGGATTCTAGTGATGAAGTCAACGCCTTGGTTGATGATTGTGGGAGAGAAACCAGAGAAATCTAAGATAGAAGTAAGGTAATGTTCAAGTTTATTTTCCCCTTATAGAGGGAAAATGTTCTCAACTTCGAGAGGAAACCCAACCTATGGTAGCAGATCTACACTTGAGAAGAAAAAAACATCTAGTCAACCCTTTCCCAACTTGACCCGAGTCCAGACAAGAAAACCACTCAAGAAGGCCGGACTTGACCTGGGTCAGAAGTGAAAACCACACAAGAAAATCCGAGCCGGGCCCGATCAAATATGGGCCCGGCCCAGCCCCCAAAATCAATAGCTCAAGGAAGAGAGAGAGAGAGAGAGAGAGAGATGAGATCATATAAGAAAATGTGAAAAATATTTATGAGCAAACAACACGTAAATAAACCAAGTCTTTCACTAAACAATTTGAATCCAAAGAACAAGCATCCGCTAAAACAAAAATAAAATGATTTATTGAACAAAGACTTTATAGACTTTATCCACAAACTGAATGACAACATACTCTGTCTGTTCTGGTGAATTTATTATATTTTCTCTCCCTGTATCCACTGGAAGCCAGAAAATAAAATCCGGTTCCTCCCTGATGCCATTATCCAGACTGTTTACCATTTCCAGCTTGCCGATGAACTCCAGCATTTATACGTGCAGCGGCAGTGCGGGCGGCTGCTGATGCCCGTTCGGCTAAAGCCATCGCCGCCCGAGCCCTCTCCAAGGCATCTGACGCGCCCCGTGGCCCTTCACTGAGAGAGGAGTCAACCGGGGGGAGCTCAATCTTCTCAGGCCCCACCGATAAAATCTTGCTGACTACAGCAGGAGCTGGATTTGAGACCGCGGGAACAGGCAGATGGGGCTGACTCTGAACCATCGGTGTGATGGGCAGCCCATCCTGGGGTGAGGCAGGAGGCATGCTTTGTGTGATGATCACTGTAGATGCAGTGGGTATGGCAGAAGAATTCAATCCCTCCTGCAGATATCAGCCAAGTATAGTAAGATTCCATCCCGCCTCCAGGCTATGAGAAACACAGAAAAAATATTGGGTACCATAATGATATAATGTGGCTCTAGGGGGGAAATAAAAAATTATTGAAAAATTATAAAAAAAAAGAATAAGAGAAAATATAGCGTGAGGGAGTTGTTGAGGTTCCACACCAGGAGGTCTTCGTGCTTCTTGCTGAATTCAATCTCAGTGCTGGAGGCGTCCCACTCCACACCAAACTCCTGTGCGATCCCCCTCAGAGCCCGGAGCTTCACTTCAGCAGGGGGAGCCCTGACGGAGAGCTTCTCAATTATCTGTGGAAAGTTCCCCAGCCCGTCACCTTTTTGCAACCCGTAATTTCCATAATAAGTAATAAGTGATAGACTATCTTTGACTCTACCATCCGATTGACATTTGAGTCCGGCCGGAGCTCAGCAGCAGCAGCCGAAAACTCCTTGCCATATTTTGTCGTGAACAGGTTCCTGACCTGCATCAGCTCAGGCAGGTCTGAACACCTCGGGGCAGCATAGATGATGCTGGCGATGGCCTCCTGCAATTCCGAGGGGCAATCTCTGTTACATGGATAAGATATCCAAGTATGAATAGCTAGAAGAGCATTATAATGCTAAATACATAAGAAAAAAGCTATAAATATATATCATATGGCATGAAACTTATGTGAACAAAGTGGAGTTCACAAAAGTCTGGAGCATATGTTTCTAAATAAAGAAGAGATATCACATACAAGTCCCTGCATTGCATGAGCCGCCTGGTCAATTCATAGTTCCCACAAATATTTTTTCTAAAAAAAAGAATCTACCAGAGATGTACGAATTCTAAAGTCATAATCTTTTGTGCGATTTTTTAAATACTTATTTCATGCTTTCACAATTAGTTGAAAACTTGGAAGAAAATGGACGAATTCTAATTTCATTAAAAAACCCTACATCGATTGATAATTATGGCTGAATACAACCGTTACACAAATTGATTGTTCGTATAACAGGATGTCACAACTAGAACAGAAGTAATGAGGGTAACAATGAACAGAAGAGAAGTAAGATAACCACAGATAATAGATAGGGATTCAGATTTTATACAAATCAATCTTCAGACTAATTTGCTGAGAATGTCGAAATCTTGCACCCCCCCACCCCTTTTTCTAAGCCTGCGGAGAAGTAAACACTTATCCTTACCCTGCATATAACTTTCCATGTCCAAGACCGCCTGTCAGAACATCTCATCATTAACTTTATGCCTGTGATTAATTTTAATGAGCAGGGTGGGAAACAAGGAATTCGAGATGAGGAACAACTCTAACACTTTCAGCCAATTGACTCTCCTATGGCGCCTTATCTCCTACATAAGTTGGCTACGTGATTTATCCCATGAGTAGCTGTTGGTTGACTTTTGAGGTGATTTCAATAGTTTTATCCAGATGTTCTACTCATCAGACTCATTTTCAGAAGAGATCAACAAGATCTCAGATCCTTGCAATGCCCATGAACAGGGCTTCATGGTTCTTCAAAGCCAGTTCTCTCAAACCATTCACAGCCACCATGAAGCCTGGAAATGGAGGCTGCATGGTGACAGATGCGAGGGAGGTGAGTAAATATATCTCAAAAGATTTACAGCTTCTTAAACATTTCACAAGATAATTTAAAAAAACAAATGAACAAAACAAAATTGGAATATTTTCCTTGAAAAAAAATAACAAAGAAAAAATTCAGCTAAATCATTTACTGAACACTTTTCTTATATGTAGAATAAATCTCAATTCGAATCCCCTTGCATTAACACTATTGTCATCCCTTCAGACAGAATTACACTATGTCAAGGTCAAACCTAGCATCCTCATCAATGAATAGGAGATGGTTGAAACAGAAAAAAATGTTGGACAAAAGAATCAGTGCAGCATGGGAAGAAGTCAAAGAAAGAATTCCAGAAAGGGAAATTCACCTTTGGGCTTCGAGGATAGGCACTCGAGCGAGCACAAACTCACAGAATAGTTCTAATACCTCATAGGCAGCTGATACGTTCTCTTCACGAATGACATGCTCCACCTAAGAAAAAGCATATAAATGATGAAGATGATGACGGTGGTGATATCAATCTTGTGAAACCATAGAGAGAGAATTAACAAGAGAAGATCGTCAGTTCTCTGCATACCCTAATACGAGAAATGGACTCCTGGCCGCTTTGAAGGTATTGAGCAATCTCCTTCCTCATTTGCTTCAGCTGGACCTCCCGCTTGTTGTGCAACAATTTGATGCGCGAAATGGCGAGGTTCAAGCAAGTCTTGCTGCAGAACAAGCAAAGATCGAAAAGATGACCGGGTTGCAGCCATTATTACGAACCCTCTTTGTGGAAGCATCACCCACATTAGGGAAACCAAGCACCGGAAAAGATTCAATCAATCCTATGCCATCTTTGTCATAGGAAAATTTATACTTTAATTTACTAAAAAATATAAGAATCATGCTAAGCCAGGAAATCTGATAAACCACGGTCGTCCCCGGCAGTAGAAGTAGAAGTTCAATTCAAATAAAAAAAAGGTATTATGAAATTAGTTACAGTGAGGATTATAAAATTCTTGGAAGTTTAACCCTTTCGGAGAGAGAGAGAGAGAGAGAGAGCGAGAGAGAGAGATTTCACAGAGATAGCATCATGATCCACCTGAAGTTGCACCTGTTAATCGCAACTAAATGACGAATAAAGAAACCCAATGGCTGTTTCAGGGAGGCATACAGTTACTCGGCTTCGACCTTTCGATCAGTGAGAGTTCAAGGAAATACACAAAGATTTTCTCAACCAACGATCAGATCTCCGCTCGGCCCGCAATATCACTCCCCACGGAGTAGTAAACAAGCTACGGAAAAAGGAAACCAAACACCTTTTGCACCTCAGATTGTTCCATGAAATCTTCTCCTCAGCGAGAGTCCCAGAACAATCTATAAGCGAGGCGGCGGAAAACGCCTCGAAGATGGGGATCGGAATTCAAAAGAGATGGCGAGGAAAGCAGGAGGACGGTGATCGACCAAACGCACCATCTGGCACCCAGGAGACCTCTGCTGAACAGGGAGGTGAGCGACGACATCCTCCGGCTCGCCGAAGATCGCAACCTCCGATGACAGGAAGCCGCCGGAGCGCTAAATCCGACGGGAGAACCAACGACGGTCGGCCGGAGCCCACAAGGAAGACGCTTTCGTTCGTTAATTTTTCTCCTTTTCCACGCCGATCACAATGTATTCCACAGAATCCATTCCCCATTTTTTAACTGGCCATCGTTTGTTTCAAGTTCGACGCATAAAGGCGCCCTTCTTCCCCTCGACATCACAATTCATTATCGGAATGCAGTCCTCTTGAAAAGCGAAGATCTCATGCCCCCTATCATCTCAATGCATTCCGCGAATCCATTCCTATCCTGACTGTCCATTTCGCGTACGATGTGAAAAGGGCATGAAGAAAGAAAACTCCACGAGTGACAGCAAAAGCCTCTGGTTTCCCATTCACAACACAATGCTTTCTATTTATGAAATATTAGAAAAGAAAACTTCGTAGTTGAGCATGTTCGGGTGGAAGTTTGGCCCAAGTGCAAAGGCTCAAATAGTAACTTTCATTTTTCATTAAAAATTGAATATTCAAAGTATTTTAGAAGAGGTATTAGTTCATCCAAAACTATCACTTATAGGACATGAGGTGGATTAAGAGCTTCAGGTATGTCCTAAGTACTCCTTACAATAAGGTGCACTAGTTTATCAAAGATAATTAATGTTCTTATAACGTTTAAGTATGATTCCAGCAATCTTGAAAGAATGCCTCGATAATGTGATGGAAATGAACCAATACATTACAAGATACATGGACGATTGTGTAATATCTTAAGAGAACAAAATTGAAATTCTCTCAACAACATAGCTCTTTCAGCATGTACCAATCTTGACTCAAACTTGAGAAGACATCGCCATGTATTTCATGAAAGGTCTACAACTTGATATTAGTGAGTTTAGTCAATTGAACAAGTATTTACATTTCTTACCCTTACCCTACACACATTATTTCACAATAAGGGAAGGAGTAGTCACATTTGTTTGAGAGGTTGGTCATCTACATGAGATTCTAAAATGTATTGCCACCAACCAAGACAATATATTCCTCAGTCAATTTTAGTAAGAATTCTTTAAACTTCAAGAAACTAGTAATTGATAAGCATAGGACTATGCACCACCCTTAGATATATAAGCAAAACAAAGCAGTAATTGGTATTTTTAGAGACCTATTTATGTTATTTTGCCTCTAATAGATCAAAGGAGTGGAGTAAAATTAGCTTCAATGAGCAGAATGTTGGTACAACACTATATTTTGTACTTCAATTTGAATAACACTATCTAAGTATGTTTATAGTCATAATCCTTTATCGATAGTTTGTTTAGGTATCCATATGGTAAAGATAGCTTTAGTTGAGTGACAATTGTAGGAACCAGATCAAATTTTAGAAAAATTAGAATAACACTTGGATTGATTCTAATTAAAGATAAAGACACATTTAGATAGAAAAAGACAATATAGCATATGAAGTGGGAGATTAGGTTTATATAAAATTAAGGCTATATAAGATTAACGATAATACACTCTTTGACTCATAGGATTAACATGATGTTTTTCCCTAGATACTTTGACCTTTATCACATCATTGAAAGCATCATCATTACTTTTCTACTATTTGAGCATTTACTCTTCTAGGAATCATACATAGGGCACTTATAAGTTTATTTTTTGAACCTTTCTTGAATTGTATTATTAAGTCATATCTAACGATTTTTGCAAGCCACTTTTTTTATTCTAATTAGACCTACTACTACTATTATAAAAACTTCTAACTAATTTGGTAAGTAAAAACTATGAAATATTGTCCTAGCAGATAATACCTGATGAATTTTCAACATAATTTTCATCAATTACCTTTTGTACGCTATTTTTAGTTGGTTCTAAGTAAACAATACTTGAATAAAATATATGATGGGTTATACTACTACATGAGTGTATCCTCAACTCATAACCCAACGTCTATGACTCAATCTTGAATGGCTATGAGAAAATTAGTAAAGTTGAGATTGACATGATGTTCAATTCTTGAGTTTCTAAAATGATGTCTAACATCATCATTCACAAGAAAAGGTACTTCAATTGTTGCATCAATTGTCATGAGATAACTATGTATCATGCATTAGACATTTTATAATGCTTAGTAAAGCTCAAAACTGTCCTCAACTCTTGTAGATTATTGGTTGTTTGCCATCTTAAAATAGCCTCTATGTTGTCTCTATTTGCTTCTATGGGTTTGACAAATACCTAATTACCTAAATATGTGATGTGTCTTTACTTGAATATGTATTTCCTTAAATTGATATGTAGTTTGTGCTCAACTAATATTGGTAGCATTTGGTATAGTTGTTGCTCAACATATATGATTCATGAGTAATTAAAATGTGGTATGATAATTGTTAAACCTGATGACATCATGAAAAATTATTAATATTTGAAATGCTATATTCAGAATGTCTTTAGTTTTCATTAATATTTTGTTTAGTAGTTCGTTAGTGTTGAAAAACTACATATCTAACACCATTATGATCTCAAAAGTTTTGTTGATATTTTCTATAAAAAAATATATGAGAATAGTGATTAGTTTTCATTTGTCAAATGACATGAAGCTAACTAGTCAATGGACTATTCTTAGGCATTCAATAATCATCTTGACCAGATCAAAGTCACAACACATTCCGCCTTCAACCAGCATCTTGCAAGATGTAGACAGAAAAAATCATTTTTTTTCTTAATTGGAATCTTGGACACACTTTAAGTCAACATCATCTTTTACATAACAACATGCAGTGAACGTTTATATTCTTTGTGAGATAAACTTGTGATGAAGTCTTCTTTTAATCATGCAAGAGAGTTGACACATTAGTTGTTAGCCTCCTACAATTATGAATTTAGAAGGAATTTTTTTAACAAAATGTAGTGAAAAATAAATTCAAGAATCTATTATTGTGAAGGTAACTTTCAATCAAATGGAACCTAGAAATGGAGTTGTTCTGAAAGAGTAGGCATAAGTAAGGGGTTGATTTACTTTAAAAAATCTGTCTCTAACTAATAGATCTAGGAAAATCAAAGGACCTCAGTTTACAAGAAGATTTAATATTTCAATAAGAGTGAATTGAAGTAAAGATTAGAAGCTACTGAAATATAGCCCCCTTATTGATCTAAGTACAACCTTTACTTTAATAATTATTTGAATTCATTAACAACTTATGTTGAGATAAAATGATGGGTGGTTATGTAGTCCATTAAGATAATTACTTATATGGGTCCCATTCTTCTCTTGAGCTTTATAATACCTAATTTTTTAAGCCTCATAATTGAATTAAATGATAACTTGATATTTTCTTACACTCCTATCTCTATTCTTGGGTCTTCTACCCTACTCATTTCTTTTGATGTTTCCATATATGATCTTTTTTCTAATTCTTAATCAATTTCATACACTAGGAAAAAAAATATTCTCTTTTACAAACATGCAGTTGACTATACTATTCACCTCAAGAGAAAGACAATCCTTATGATCTACATGCTTAAATTTTTCTGTTGATTAAGTTTAACCACATCTTGACCTCATCATGTAGGTTACTAAATTAGTTTTCTCCACTAGTAAAAACTTGAGTTCCCCAACTTACAACCTCATTAGGTAGTAATTTTGTGAGTCTGCCTAATTTAGTGGTCCTCCTTAGGCTTGGATCTGAGCTCTTGGCCCCTCCATGACCTAGGAATATATTAGGCCCTCTAAACAAATTTGGCCTAAATAGTTTTGTGTTGCATAGAAGTTTTCTAATTTAGATGGTATTTTTCTTCTCTCTAATTAGTTGAGCCATTTCCATGATGAAGTTCAAATCAATATAGGATCCTAATCTTTGTTCTAATGTCTAACTTCAACACCTTGATCAATACACTAAAACCTCATCTAGTAACCCTTCCATAAACAATAACAAGTTCAAAATCACACTAAAATTTCACTAGAGATCCATGTTGTTGATGTGTAGAAGCATTTTCACAAATTACTTACAACAATCTAAGATGTTAGAACAATTGTTATTTTATCTCCTTCCAACTTTTGAAAGCATTCATGCTAATAACTCATCCTCAACGTTTACTCTTGCTACTATTAGCTTCTTCACCTCTATCATTATATTTATCGTGAGATATAACTTTGCATGGAAAACTAAATTATTATGATTTTCTCCAGTAAATAATATTATCTTTAGTTGGCATCTATCCTTCAAAGTCATGATGTGAAAATTATGCTTTATCTCCATTGTACTTAGGTTTCTTCTCTCGGGCTTTTCTCCTACAATCTTGTGCTCAATTCTCCTTCTTTCATGTGGTAATGCCTTTTTGTCTACATTGTTCACCATGAATTTTTCAATGTCTTTAGATATTTAGCAAGGCCTTGAGTCAACTCTTCTATGGAATTTGTTATCTCTTGGGATAATTGTAATTGTATCTCGACCTTAGGTACCCTTCACAACTCAGTCTTCACATCTTCCTTCTTTTCTCTAGGTTCTCCAAATCTTCTCTTCTTAGTCTTGGGCCATTGAATCATTGTTCTAGTACCAAATGATGAGAGAAAGAAGTCCATGCATAGAGGAATTAAAAAAAATCAAAGTAAAAAAAGAATAGAACTAGTTAGGGTCTTGGTGAAAAACATGAAACAATGAAAAACAAGATAGATGATTGCCTTTTGAGAAGAATATCTCCCTTCCAACAAGTGAAATAGTTTCACTTGCCTCTTCCACCCCCATCCTTTCTATGCCTTAATAACCTACTTAGTCTTGTGTCCTCCTTGAGAATTTACCTAATGACCCAAGCATCTTGGCTCAGCAAGCCTCTTCCTTGTCATAGAGTAGGTAAGACTTATCAGATGTCTAACTAACATCACTCTTGTGTATGAAATATTTTTATTAATTAACCTATTTTTCACACATCCCAAACTTGTGCAAAATCTCTTTCACCTTGTTAAAAATCTTTCAAACAATCAAAATTAATTATTTTAGTGTGAAGATTAATCAAATACACTCCCTTTCTATTGAGTATATCTCCTATGCAATTTAGTTTTCTTGACATGTTTCATCACAAAGGTAAATCATTGAATAATACAGCCCATAGATCATGAATTCGATTAATACTTATTTAATTTTGAATATATTTTAATACCTAATAGTTAGTAAATAATGCAAGTTTTCATTGAATAAGATAGTGTTCCTCTACAAGGCTCTCATTATGACATAAAATTGAATTAACAAGTCGCTCCCTTGTTTATAACATCAATTAATTTATCATTATAAAAACTAAGATGACAAACATCTTAAAATGATGACTCACCTACTCCCACAATTAGTGCATCATATCCACTTCAAATAAGATGTCAAAATTTAACCATGTTAATATATTAGTAGAACATAATTTCATCTTAATAGGATTGAACCAAACTTATATTTAAATTTTCACCATAATTAACTTTTTTTTTCATACATGATGAGAACTTTGCTTATTTTAAGTGATGAACTAATATAGATCTTGATAAAACCAAGCTTCTAGCAATGAAGCTATATTTTTTAAATTTTTATATAGAGCATTTTACTAAAAATGTCAAAACCTATTTCAACTTAACAATAAGTTTTTTTCTAAGGTATTATATATTAACATATTTTTGAGATAAATGACAATGAATTTTCTTATACATTATCTTTATACTTGGTTCATCATCCTCGTCAATGTTCTAGGAATATTAGATAAATAAAATGGATTTTTTTGCATATTTTAAATTATTCGTAATACAATATTATGATATTAAAATTAATTTTCCATTCATTATTTACATATTTTAAAGTAATTACATTTTAAATCAATCTTTGGGGAAAATTTCAAAGAAATATGTCAGTATATCATCAAGTCATAAAAATAAAAATTAATATTTGAAAATAATTTTATTTATAGTTTGACTATCAACACAGGTTTGTCAACTATTGTCTATTTCAAAAACCAATAATGTAAGAACAAAGCATGGGCTCATACTATGTTTGATAAGTTCTTTTGACGGCAACTCTTATATGTGTTAAGTTCATTTTCTTCATGATCCTTCTATCATGTGACAAATTTAGTAAGTTTGCTCTAAAAACAAAGTCAATATAATGCTGAATATCTATCATCATTGGAAGGTGCTTTATACAATACTAAAGCTAGATAAAGCCATTAGATTATGAATCTTTCTCATCCAACTAAATTTTATAAGGACCGGAGTGACTCTTTATTTTGAGTCCAAATTTATTCAATGTACTTAATCAGAAAATATTTTCACTACTATTAATATCAAAAATAACATCATATATCTTTTGATTAACAATAAAATGTTAATAGAATATTATGACATTGAAGTTGTTCTTCTTTCATTGAAGTAAACATAAGACGGTTACCATCCAATGAATCAAAAAGTATTTTGCCATCATCTTGATTTATTTTTAATCATTTAGAAATTATCTGAAATATTTTACCCAATTATTCTCTTCTTCTTGAATATCTTTTGTGAAATTAACTACACTTTGTTTTGGGTAGACATTAGAATTGTGGCATTTCTAACCATATCTATAACATTTTAGTGGTTCATTTAGATCGTGAGAGTTTTTTTATGGTCCACTTTGCCCAATATTTCTTGTGTCATTAGTCTTTGTTATTTACTTTATGCAAATGTCACAACAAGCTGATTCACATTTTCTTACGAGAAACATGACGTATGACTAGAATTTCAAGATCTAATTTTTCATTCTTGATTGGAGATTCTGTCCATTCTTACACCACAATCATATCATTTAGTTTGTAAAGGGGTTGTAAGGTTTGCTTTGTTCAATAACAAATGTAAGGCCTCTCTTGAATCTAGAAATCATATAAGACTCAGATCATGTCAAATATATCAAAGAAGAAAATCCATAAATTCTTCTACATATTCTACTACAATTTTTTCACCTTTTTTGTAATTTTATAACATTGGTATAAAATTTACTCATTCTTAAGAAGAAATTGAGATTTTAGTAATTCTTCATTTAAACTAGGTATGAGAAAAATCATTTTCTAATATGGCATGTTTTGTTTGAAGTTATTCCAACCATACTAATGCTACACCCTTTAATTTAAATGTGACAAAGTTTGCATGCTTCTTTCCTTGAGTCTTCACATATTTGAAAAGGCATTCAACCTTAGTTAAAAATTCTTTTATACGAAAATAACCATTAAAACTAAACAAATCAATTTTCATCTAAAAGTCCTTATGGTTTTCCACTTTTGAACCTACTTCTTACATTTATAAATAGAATAAAGGAAAATTATTTGAGCCAATTCAAATTTCACTAGTTAGATGTCTCTTCTAAGAGGGTATCAATTGATATGCCTTCTAATTAAGATCTGCATATAACTTCTCTAGTCATGTAGCACTTGCAAAATTTTCTTTCAATCTATCATACATATTTTGAAACTTTTCTCTAATACATTCTTGAAAATAAAAAAAAAGTGTGCCTTGGATAAGGTACTTGTCTCATGAATGACATGGTAAGTGCAGTTGACTCCCCATTTACATGACATCTTCACCCAAATGAATTCAAGACTCAAATCTTGTTACTTCCGAGACTTAAATCTTATTGCTTTTGACATAAAAATAATTACATAAAACACAAAAATTAGTCACTAAATCTACAAGGCACAAATTTGAAGTAGGATAGTAATGAAAATCTAGCCTTGAATCTACAAGGCACAAGTCCATTGAATCTATGAGGATTGAATAAGATGATCCTTGAATCTACAATGATCAGAAAAAATGCCCACTAAATTCACAGGGGTTGTTGAAATCAACAAAAATTTAGAAATCTCACAAACCTAACAAAAAATTGTAGTATTTATCTCTTCTAAAGCTATAGTGTGATAGCCTTTGAATGAGCTCAAATCCATTATAATTCGCCGAGAAAAATTGGATCGGCTGTGAAAACAAATTAAAAACGATTTAATAGCACAATAATTACTAAAACTAAAGACTAATGTGTTCTTCGCGTGATTTATTTGGGCCTAATCTAATTTTGGGCCCTTTCATCTTTGTAGCCCACGTTTCACATTTTCAGTTTGTTTAGGCTACCAAATTTGGGCCAAATCTCATTTGAGCGGTGTCCTACATCATCTAGTCCCCCTTCCTCTTGGCTGAAGTATATTAAATAAATTAAAACCAGATATTTATTTTCAGTACACCACAACCTTGGAGGTGAATAAACATGAAATATGAGCCACGTATTTTCTTTCAAAACTTTGGTTTAAATATGAAGCTATAAAGTCTCAGATCTTTTTCATCTCTGAACCATTCCACAGGATATGGAGCAAAGGTCACAAGTTCTATCCTTCTCCCTTCAAATATGAGGATTTAGATAAGTACAAACAGACCCATATATTCCTGATAAGTTAGTTATAATCTTCCCCAGTAAATTAAATGCATTAAATGCCGCTAGATTAAATATGAGCCAAAGATTCTGCTGCAAGATAAACCCAAGCCACGGATTTTTGCTTCAAACTATATGACAGAATATGGAGCTATAAAGTCACGGGTTCTGTTCCTCCCTGTTAAAACAAATGCATTCAATGCTGCTGAAAAATTAACATGAACCACTTCTTTTCCTTCAAACTGTGGTACAAATATGGAGCAAAACACAGGGGTTCGATGCGAAGAACAGCTAAGACTACATCTCCCATAGATTATTTCACATGATTGATTAACTGGAGGAGAATGGAGGAATGAAAAATGGGTCCCCAAGGCGCACAACCAGAGGATGAGAGAAAACATGGGAAATTGAGGGTGGTGCCACTGCGCAGAAAGTGATGCAGAGCTACCTGTGATTGCCAGAGGAAGCCCCACTCCATCTTCTTCCTCGATGGCGGATCAACCCCTCAAGGTCAACTTAGAAATCTGCATCTAATGTTTCAAGGAGAAGGCGGCTGCCGTCTTGTTACGCACTTGCCTGCTAGGATTGCAGGTTCTCGGAGGATCAATCAGCAGCTTCTTCTTCTTCTTCCTCTTCTTCTAGGTCGCCTTCCTCCGTCCACCATTCACTTGCCGACAGGCTTCTGCAGCAGGGCGGTCAGGTAGACCTCCCCGTTCTTCACGCCGCCAGCGTCGGTCTTGTTCCCCACGGACCACTTCAAGATACGGTAGCCGAGCTTCCTGAACAGCGGCGCGTAATCGGCGTTCAGATCCGCCGCCCGGCAGAAGAAGTGGTCGATCCAGAGGAATCCGCCGGACCTGAGCACTCGATCCGCGTCAAAGAGCAGGAACTCCAGCGCCGCCGAGGGGATCCAGCGGTTGACGGCATGACCGCATCGCACCAGATCAAGCGCGGCGTCGTGAATGGGGAACCGCTGCTGCAGCGGGACGTGCAGCGGGACCAGCCCCCGGAGGGCGGCGGCCTCGCTGTAGGGTGCCCCAAGGTTCATGGTGGTTGTGACGACAGTGGCGCCGGCGTCGATCTTCATCCGCGCCGCGAAGGTGCCGGATCCACCGCCGACGTCCAGGGCGAGCCGAATCGGGGAGGACAGGTTCGCAGCGATGGCGAGAAGCTGCGGTATTGTCAGATCTAGGTTGGATCTGGTAGGGGGGAGGAATCGCGCCGCCTCCGCGGCCATGTCGAAGCCGAGATGCGGCGGCAGGCAGGCGAAGCTCTTGCAGGCGGCAGTGGAGGGCCAGATCACGGCGGCGTCGGGCAGGGAAGCCGGGAAGGGATCGGAGGAGAGGGGGATCTCCTTGGCGGCGGTGGCGGAGAAGCAGCGGCGGCGCGGGAGGGGGTGACAGCCGCGGAGGGAGAGGACCTCAGCGAGGTTGTCTGGATCGGAGGGGCAGGGCTTGAATGGCGTGTAGGTCATGTAGCGGTGGAGGAGCTCGGGGTGGTCATGGCAGGCGGAGGCGATAGGGGAGAGGGAGGCGTAGAGGAGGAGATCGGCGGGGGAGGAAGGAGAGCGGAGGGTTGTGGCGGAGGGGCGGAGCCCTGTGAGGTGGGAAATGGTGGCGCGGATGGTGGCGAGCTGCTGCTGGAGGCGATCCGGGATCTGCGCTGCCGGCTGCCTTGCGGCGCCGCCGCGGGGGTAGGAGGAGATGGACGAGAGGTGGTAGAGAGAGAGTAAGTTGGTGCCTACCATGGCGAAGAGGAGCAGGAGGCTCAGCCCCATGCCCAGGCCCATCCTCTCCTCCTTCCTCCACCACCACCCTCGTCCCTCTGAGACTCTCTCAGGTCTTGAGTTTCCTTCCCACTCTCTGACTACTGAGTACCTTCCCCTGTCTTTATCTCACCACTGACTCGCGGCGTCCTTCCCTCTCATCTATCTCTCTCGCTAAAATTTCTCAGCTAAATAACATTTTTGGTCTTCGCCTTTTCAACGCCTGATCAGGCGTCTTCACTCCCTCTCTCTCTCCGACGGCCCATCTCTCTCTAATTCTCTATTTCTCTCTCTTTCTCTCTCTCACGAGAATCTTTATGACAACTGATTACTCTATGAGACCACTCTTATACATGAGAGAGACAGTGAGAGAGAGAGAGAGGAGACAAGAAGGGGAAAAATATAGGAATACATTTGAAAGGTCGAAGTGACGTATTTTTATGAGAGAGAAAATAAGAAAAATAGAATATCTCAGAGGATAAATAGATAAGATGAGCGAGAAAACATAAAATTATGACGAGATAATATAAAAATAGCCAAAAATGATAAATAAGAGAGAGCCTAACTTTTTATGATAGAGAGGATAAAAAATATATATAAGAAGAGAGGAAACGGACAGCAACTCGCTGATATAAATTATTTTATGGGGTATTGGAGTAAGGGTACATAGATAATATAAATTATGTTTGCTGACCATACAAATTACCACTCGCGAAAGGGTCCTTACGTTAACAATAGAAAACGTGGGGATAGATATGCAGCTATCTTTTCGAAAAAGGCATATATGATAATTTCCCAAGAGCCTGTCGGTGGCCGCACGTGATCGACGGTGTCTCACAGAGACCACGGATGGCACTGGACGGGTCGGGTCGGCCGATTCGGCAGTGCCATCCGATTCCAGTTAGATCGGGCCCGAGAACGGCTGATCCGGCTCGGTTGACTCCCCGTCGTCCGACCAAACATCAAAGGCCCTCTGGGCCCACCTCTGAGCGCACCACTTGTTCTGATGAAAGTCACACGTGGCGTTGACTAGTCGAATCTCCAATCTGACGGCGTAGATTTCGATGAAGTGGTTCCGCCACGTAGGTAGAGTAACCGACAAGAGACTCCTAAGTGATGAGAGAGAAATCGGATAATACGATTTTCATTTTCTTAAACACAATTTATCATCATAGTAAGTTCATTTTCAATAAAAAATGAGCGTGCATTTTAAATCTAACAATATAAAAGACGAGTTTTTGTTATTTCACATTTTCTGAAATGGAAAATAATTTTAATGAATTAAATTGGAACGTCACATAAAAAAATATACCAAAGAGAGAAAAAATTAACAAGGGAAGCATCAGTGAGATTAGACAGATTGTAGAGAGAAAGAAGAGAGAGAAAGAAGAGAGAGAGAGGGGGAGGGTCATTTCGTTCCTTTTCCCTTCCGTTCGACTACAGTGGTGTGGGGACGGTTAGGGGTTATATCTTCCCCACCAGGGCCACCATTTGTTGCCCTTCTGCCTGCCTTCCTCTTCTGGTATTTGTTCCCCGTGGGTTGCTCCGGCCGCCGCCGCGCAGGAGGAGGGCCGTGTGAGGGCGAGCTTCTTCTTCTTCTTCTTCTTCTTCTTCTGGTGCTGCCTGCGTGGACCAGTGGCATTGACGTACGGCGGCGGAGGCATTTGCCCCTGGTTTCTGTGGAACGATGAGCAGCAGCGGCAGCGGAGGGGGGAGAATGGGGGGCGCCGGCGGAGGAAGCGCTACGACGACGAAGAAGATGCTGCAGAGCATAAGGGAGATCGTGGGAGGCAACTTCCCCGATGACGAAATCTACGCCATGCTCAAGGAATGCAACCTGGACCCTAGCGAGACCATCCACCGCCTCCTCAATCAAGGTCCAATCTAGTGATTTCTCTCTGCTTTTCCTGTTCGTCGTCCGATGTCGACCTCTGGGAATTCGTTTGGTGTCGCTCTCGTTTCGCTCTTTTCACGGAGACCCCTAGGGCAAGAGGATTCGCGGCGCTAGGTTTCTCTTCTCATGTCGGCATAGATATGTGTTAATATCGTTATGTTCCTGTGTGTCTTGTTGTTTTGCCTTAGCCCGTGTGGTGCCGAGGAACCGGGAAAAGATCTAGGTTTTACGAATTTTGATCGAAGAAAGTCGACGGTGGGCAGTGTTTCTGAGGAAGCAGCAGAGATGGTGGTTGAGATCTCTCTCTCCATCTCTGTGCCATCAGCAATCATCCTATCGTCCATATTTCTTCTCAAACCCCACATTTTCCCGTTGGCTATGCTATTAACTTTACCCCGGCTGCTAGTTTGTGAATTGATTCGCGTGTTGATGGATGGGTATGTATCTTTTTCGGATGATGATGTGTCGTTCTGCAAAAATATTTTCCTGGAGCGGAAGATCATTTGTTCTTCTATTCATATAGTTTTGATTGTGGTCGCATGTTAGGCCTAAGACAGCATTACGTTTCCACCGTTTTGAGGAGCATTTTCCATGCATTCCAAGGCAAAATACCTGCATTCCAAGGCAAAATACCTGCTCTCCCGTAGTCTTCTAGATGACCCAACGTTTCCTTTGCCACTCATCGCTTTGGCGTATGCAGTGATTGTTTTGCAACTGTGGAGGTCCTGGTAGGGGCAGGGGCGTGGTGGTGAAAGAGGGATATTTGAACGCGAATGGTGATCCATAGGAAGTGTGGGAGAAATATTGTAGCGAGTGAGAAAGGGGGATGGAGGGAGTTCCATAATGTGAAGAAGCGTAGGATTAGGGAGAGAAGGGAGGAAGACTATGAGCATGCGTTGTTTTGGATGAAACTTGGTAGGATAGGCATGGAGCACGAATGGGGGAATTTTATGAGGAAGGTTTTTGCTAACTTTATCCAAATCTGTATATGCTATGCAAGGCAGTGGCCTCCATCTTCTGTGCCTTTGAACCCTTCATCCTCTTGGGCAGCTGACTTTTTGTGATTCCAATTGGCTGGTAAACCTAGGCAATGCTTTTGTGAAGGAAGAGCCATGAAAAGTATTCTGTCTCTGATTTAGTTCGTACGTCATTGGGTATTTTTTCGTTCTTTTGTTTCTCTTTGAATTTTATTTTATTTTTCCTCTTCCCTGTAAGTTTATTTTGGATTCGAGCTTGCCTGACTGTGACTTTGGTTTTGTGAAGTTATTGGATTTGTGTCTAAATTTTTGTGTTTCTAATCTGTAGACACATTTCACAAGGTGAAGAGCAAACGTGAAAAGAAAAAGGAGGTGAGGGTACTGTGGTTATTGGATGGTAGTTTTTGCTTGTCTGAATTAAATGTTTGACGACTAATTTCTCCTCGGTGATCTCATACATTTCGATGCAGTAAACCTGTATCATGTATTCTTTTTCTACATCCAGCAAATCAGTTGCGAGAGTAGCAAGTTAATCTTCTATTTTACTTTGTCTCTTTACTGTTATGCAAAAATTATCCTTTGAATATGTATTCCAATTCAAATTGTCTGATCAAAGTTAATGCTTCTCTATGATATCCCCAGACGAAGGATAGCACAGAATCCAGACTCCGGATAGTTAATATTACTTCAAATCGTGGAGGGAGGAGTTCTGCTGAACACCCTGTTCGTACCGGAGCTACCCAGGTCAGCTCCAGTGGTACGTGCATGTCGTCACTATGTTTTTATTCAGTACATGAAACGCCATATAATTTGAATATTTGTTTGAAATTGATTCTTGTATGCACATCTGCACTTTTTCAGACTATGGAGGAATTCGTAGTAAATCCTTGCAAAAGAAAGAAAATGGCCCGACTGCTACCTCTTCAGGTCATGGTGCTATTGGTGGGAGTGTTGCTGCCAAAAGCTCTGCACCTCGAAGGTTAGTTATAGTGATGTTTTGAATAATTAATAGCGAGCCTTTTCTCTTCAAGCTATCAACAGTGTATCTTGCAACTGGTTCATTCAACCTGCTGCCTGTCTACATTAAATTTGGATATTAACTTGCATGTTCCTGCCAACTAGGTGGCCACAAGCCACGGGTGTGCTGGAACATAAATAACAAGGATTTTCTATGCGGTGTTTCTGATTGACATATATTCACATCAGGATCGATCATAATAAATTAGTGAACACAATCTTTGAATTGAATTTTTGTAATTCTTTTCCAAAAAATTGTACAGTCATTGCATGTATGCTCTGTTTGAACATTTCTGAACAGGTCAAATCGTTTATATATACTTGTAGGATACCAACTTTGGGATGTAATCATCGTTTATTTCAGGACTTGCTATTCTGTAATGCTTGTTGGCGTAAAGTCTCTTTGTGTGCTGCAGTGATTATGTTGCAATGGAGAACGTGGAATGCTCAGCTGTTATGGCTGAAACCATCTCCTCACAATATTCATCTGGAGTCCAGAGGGCTTGGCCTGGAATGTCTGGTCAGCGAACATTGGCTGACATTGTGAAGATGGGTAGACCTCTTGTGAAGACTTCTGGAGTACCATTTGCTTCAGCTGAATCGTACACGGCCTGTGTTAATTCATCAAAGATTATGCACGCAAGTACCAATGGTTCAGACCCCAAGGTTCTGCTGCCAGAATCTTATCATATGGATCCTTTTTCCAATGGTTCAATGATTGTGCAGGAGCCTAGTTCTTCAGTGGGCTCATATGCTTCTCATGATGATTGGCCCTTAGTTCATCCATCATCCGCCAGAAATGGATCCTCTCATTTAGAAGCACATGATACTTCTGCTGTTTACACTGATCAATCTACATCATTACACTTGCATGCTGATGATGTTAGTTTGCACTGTAACGTTCAGCAAGAGAACCTGCATTCTTTTGAGGGAAATATTAATGCTAATAATCTGGCAGAAGATTCCTTAAGAACTGCATCGGCATCAGAAAGACAAATAGGAATTGATAGCTCAGCAGAGGAAACTGTTCTGGATCATGACTCATTTAGAGATATGAACTCCTACCAGTCTCATGGGCAACGTTTTGAGTCTCATGAAGGTATTTCTTTTTTTTTTTTTTTTGTCTTTTGTTATAGAATTTGTTACTCATCTTGAAGTTTTACACTCAGGGTTGAATTGTACCATTTGCTTGCAAAAATGTCAAGATCAATAATGTTTTCTGGTTTGTCATGTGAAAACTCTTCAATGTTTTTGGTTTCTGCTTTCTAATTGCTTGAACCAACTATCAGATTGGCTACTAAACATTTGCCATGCAATCTTAAGCTTCAGGACATAGTAACATTGTTCGACTATATTTAAGATGGTATTCTCTTAAATATCGTCTCTAGATGAATTTGAAAGGTATAGATTTTTGGTCTTAGTTTTTGCCTGTGTCACGTTTCGAATAGGATGCTATCTTCATCTCCTATGTAATAAATTCTAAACGTTCATTATCTTTAACTTTTATCCGCTGCTTCTTGTTTGCACCCTATAATTTATCCTCAACCTCTGATAAGCATTTTGTTGGCAGTTTGAGTTTCTATTATCGATGCTTGAGTTTTTATTAGAACCTTTTTTCTGACCGCTACCTTTTTTTTCTTTTGTTCTGTCGTGGGATTCCTGCTTTACTAGGATCACGAGTCAAACAATAAGCCAAAAAATACTGTGCGAAAGTTCCCCAGTTTAAATAGCTTGTAGGAATCTTTACTGGAGGAACCATATTAATGCCTCTAATCTTTATTATGACTTGGACCTAAAAGTTTTTTTTGAGGTGACATCAGTTTTACCTCAAAAAAGAATTGGACGCCTAAAACAAGTAATGGGGCGGTCTTTTTAATAAGAAAAGTGCAAGAATATGTGATTGTGGTTATCCTGAGTTGCTGCTGTGGTATACACTACTCTGGGACAGAATGTTTGGGAGTTTACAGAACACGTACTCATACATCCATCCCCTTTCTTTCATTATTTAATGACTACATGAACCCGCTGATTTTCAAAACGAAAAAGGGAGGTTTAATTAAAGTTCAAGGCCATTTCTTTGGATTCAACAGTTTCGTGATTACTAGGCGGGAAGAGTAACCTGACTTGGTTGTCGTTGTCCTTTTGATAGAAGGCTTCAGTTTGACTGCATGAAAGGGCAGGCTGATTATATAGGGTTTTGACAAGTGTGGACAATGATAAACTAGGGAATGCAACCACTCTGCTGTCGGAAGACCATCAGCTGATCATTCCACCCGTGCACTCAATTGTGCTTTGATTTCCTTTTACTTTGTCACTTTCGATTTTCATGGAAATGCTGAAAAGAGAACTCATAGTTTAGTCCGTATCTTATCTGTTAATATGCTTGATCTGGATCCTGCTAAATCATTCTGCCTTACACTGGAAAATTCAATACATTTCAATGAAAATTTATATATGGTTAACCAAAGAATGTCTTAAATAGAAGAAAGCGCCATGATTTACAATCAGTTGATTTGATGTGCTAAACTGATGGGTGCGTATTTGAGATTGATTTTTAAAAAAATCATCAAAAGTATTTCAGGAGTAAATTTTAAAATTTATTTCTTCCTAAAATTACAGGTATTCTTTGCTAGCGATTAATTCTATTGCGGCTAGTCGAAAATGCTGTCACAGTAGTCCTCCATCTTTTAAATAGTATTTCATTACTGTATGCTCTTATTTTACAGTCAGTGGTGAGAATGCCGGTGTATCATTGACTGCTTCTGCTTTGCAACGGCTTAATTTGGTGGAGGAATCATCTGCAAGGGAGGAAGAGGACAGCCCTGGAGTTATATTTCCTAACAATTTACAGATTGCAAATGCGGACTGCTCCCATTTGAGCTTCGGTAGTTTCGGATCTGGCGTTGGTGCTTCATTTCCTGAATCATTTTCATCCCTCGAATCAACAGGTATTTTGGAGGTGCCATCAGAAAAATCTGAAACCACTTCGCTTGACCATTCAGACGCCAGGTTGGTCCTATTCATTGATTTTGACTTGGTAATCATAATCCCTGTGTTGCATATCTAATTTCGTTCTCAATCTATTCAGAAATTCTGAGTATAATGGCAGCGAGCAGCTTAGATCTGGTTTGAAGGAGAACGATGACTCAAGACCAAGCACCAATGATGAAAGTTTTGAGATGTCGTCCTTACGCCCTGATGGCATTAGAACTAGTTCTTCAGCTGCCACGGAGGGGCTTCAGTACTCATTTGAGCCCTCAGTCTCAGGTTATACGCTATCTGACACCACGGAAGCGAATTCTGCATCGTATGCCTCTGTCCAAGAAAACTCTCAAATGCAGAATATTTCTCCTTTCTCAGGCATTATGGTAACATAATATCCCTTTTTTAAAAACCTTAATTCTTTCTTCTGTAAAACGTCTTCTTCACGTGCTATCTTTTTTCTTGAAAGTTGATGGGTATTGTGAATCCGTTTGGCCTTTTATGCTATCTGTTTCTGTTGAAAATTAATTTTTTGGTAGCTCCAGTTTAGGTTTTTATGCTTTCATTGACCTTAGAGCCCCAAATAAGATCACTGCAGTACGTTTTTTTGGTCTTGACAAAGATTTGACTTTGGGGGATTGCCTGAATGAGCTTCTGTCAACTTAAAACATGAAGATGTTGAGCCCAATTCACAAATATTTGGGATGTAGTGATTCCAATCCTTCCAGCTTAAACTTGTATGTATTCGGCTACTGTCAATCTGATTTCCTAGGTTCAATCTACTAGGGTTGTAGATGGCATGGCTCACAGAATTGCTCTCAGCCAATCTGAAACAGTCGCTTTGAATGAAATCGGCGGGTACCAATCTGATTACGTGGGGAAGGAAAAGTGGCGGAAAACCATCAGGAAGAAATTGGCTGATCTTACTTGGAGTGGCCTATTCAGGGATTTTCTGTAGCTTTTGTGTACTATAAATTGCCATCATTTGCGCTTCAATCAGAGAAAAGTAAAGGAGAAGAAGTAGCTAAAAAACTTCTATCTCCATCCTCTGCCTTGTACCCATAGCCCATTGCTACTGCAGCTGCCAGAATTTGATGGCATCCTCTGTGTCAATTGATTTCCTTTGTCATTGAAATGGCTCTGCACCCAGAAGATGCATGTTTCCCTGCCTCTGAAGCGTTAGGAGAACAAACAATATCAAGTAAAATGGCTTCTCATGACTTCTGAAAGAGCTTCCTCTGTGATCAACTCTGAAGTGTCTTATCCCATTTACCTCGATTGCAGAGGCCTTTGTATTCTGGGAACTGATGTGATGCAAATATTTTTTTTTCTCTTGGAATAAATCAGGTCGAGGTGTGTTAGTATTAATGAACTAATGAAGGGTCACGAAAGCATCTTGGAAGAAAGTCGAGGCCTCCACGCCCCTCATGAGAAATGATAGAAATGATAAAACCTTTCCATGGCAGTTTCTGTGCTCTGAATTCGTGTGCTGTAATGAAAGGTCCTTCTTTCTTCAATGCTCCTCCTGCTGTCATCTGTCATCTACGGAGTTGTCATTTTATGAGGCTCTACCCATTTAGATATTTATCAGTAGTGGACTATTTCTTTGTTTGGATTTTTTTTATTATTGTCTAGTGAATACATAATTTCGATTCTATTCACTTCCTCTTTCTACTAATTCGAGTGTCAACACTTTCATTTCCTTCGATCCTGTATTCTTTTCTTAACCCTTTTATTTCATTCTCCTAGCTCTAAGGATCTTCAGATGAGCATGGGTCTGCAACTTCATGGTCCTGCGTTGACTTTTCCCTTTTCTCTGCTATCCTCGCAGGAAGCTTACACCAGCTCCTCTCCAAGTAATCTTCTTGCATCAGCTGGTCAACCTTCGCGAGAATTTGACCTTGCTTACTCCAACTTGCTTGCCACACAGTCGATGCCCACGAAATACAGCACGTCAGCGTCTTCCATGACCATGCCCAGCGTTTCCATGCTGGAGGTATCCTCCCTCTCTCTCTCTCTCTCTCTCTCTCTCTCTCTCTCTCTCTCTCTCTCTCTCTCTCTCTCTGTCTACGGGGGTGTTTGATATTATCTCTCCCTCTCATCCGCTCTCGCTGCGGGAAAAGATGGCATTTTTTAGAAAATGCTGTCTATCAACGTGCACAAAATCTACATCTTGCCCCCGATGCCAGCAACGAAACTGACAGAAAAACTTAGCATCTGGTTATTTCTGATTCGTGACTTCTGTTCTTACTCTGATTCTCACTCAGGTCGAGAACCCAGCCCGGCATAATCTGCCATCCACCAGCATTCCCGCCGGCTCACAAGCCCCTCAGCAAGTACCAGTTCAGGCATATTCTCAGCCTACGCTCCCCTTGGGCCATTTCGCAAACATCGTCGGCTACCCCTTCCTCCATCCTCAGAGCTACACCTACCTGCCCTCCGCCTTCCAGCAGGCATACCCCAGCAGCAGCACATACAGCAAGTATGCACTGCCGCAGCAATATAAAGCCGCCAGCGCCGGCATAAGCAACCTGCCGCCGTCCGCCGCCCCCTCTAGCTTCAGAGGTGGCTTCGGGGGCGCGGCCAACATCTTGGGAAACTTCCAGCTGAACACTTCGACCTCTTCTGGAAACACGGCGGTGGGCTACGATGACCTCCTAAGCTCCCAGTACAAAGAAGCCAGCCATTACCTTCCTCTCCAACAGGTCAGTGTCGATCCCGCACAGCATCCATGAAATGGGATCTGGCTGATTATGTGATTGGAAATATGCAATCGCTTCCTTTTGAGTTTTCTTTTCTGATGAAAGCTCCGCCGTTGGATTGATTTCAGAACGAAAGCTCCGCCATGTGGCTGCACGGGGGCGGTGGCGGCTCAAGGACCATGCCAGCGGTGCCGGGGTCGTACTACAGCTTCCAGGGGCAGGGCCAAGATGGGGGGCTGCGACAGAGCCAGCAGCAGCCGCCACTGCCGCCGCCGTATAGGGCCACCGCCGGGTACCAAAATCTTTACCATGCGCAGATGGGGCTGGGCCAGGAGCAGCGGCAGGGGGTGGCCGATGGCGGCAGCATGAACCCGCTGAGGGGACCATCGTCGCAGGCCGCCGCCAGCCATCTCTGGCAACACTACTGAGGCTGGTGAGAGGAGCAGCCATGGTTTGCCTGATGGAATAAACTATGCATACAGAAGTAAGGCGGCCCTTTGACTACTCTTTCCTTGGGCATGAATTCCCGTTGACCCCTTTTTAGTATGCCCATAGTAACCCGTCTAGGGAATTTTCTTGTGTTAGAGCTATCCCTCTCTTTCTCTCTCTCTCTCGCACTCGCTCTCTCTCTCTCTCTCTCTCTCACCTCGGTAGTTCAGGGAAGTTTTTATTTCAGATTCCCTCGTGTAACAGTAAAACATGAAACTCGCTAACAGGAGCCTTTGTTGTCCCAGTTGGTAGGCTGAATACGATGAGAGAAGCTTACTTTAGCTTTGTCTGATATCCCTCCCTCCCTCTCTCTCTCTCTCTCTCTCTCTCTATGCTCAGGTGCATTAAACCCGTGAAAGGAAACTTTTTTTTGTTGTAGAAGAAATGCCGATTAATGACTATTTTTTTATATATGGAACTTTTTTGTGCCCTGTTTTTCAAATATGAATTATAGACAGATAATTAGTTTATTGCATGAAATGGATAAAGTGATGGGAAAAAGTTAACGTGTGGGAGTTTTTCAGATATAAAAAGAATGGTATTTACTGTCCGGGAATCCATTGAACAGATTAAGAACGATATACTTCTAATTTTGGATGAGAACAGTGCACCGACTCATACCGTCACTAGATATCAAACCAATAAAAAATGATGCTTTTGTTTGTAATATGATTGGGTTTTCTTTTGGATGGGGACATTATTCGCGCAATGCTGAGATCCATCACATCGAAGGGAAAAATTCTTTGAGATTGTTGGGGACCCATGAGAGAGAGAGAGAGAGAGAGAGAGAGAGAGAGAGAGAGAGAGAGAGAGATAAGAGAGAGATGGGAGAGAGGACAGAGAGAGAGGAGAAAGAGAGATGAAGAGAGTTTTCCTTGTTCCTTTCGTTTTTTATCAGCAAAATGCTGATGGCCCGGCAGGCAAAATGCTGGACGCGCGCTATGCCTCGAAGCCCACGTGCAGCCTTGTGTCCCACAGATCCAACGGCTGTAATCATTTACACGCTTATCCGACGCAGCAGCGTAGGCTGACTTTCATCCTTATCGCTGACTGAGGTTCATGTGATCTAGCAGATAATCATCATCGAAGGTTCATGAAAATCCAACGGCTGAAATCTCCACAAGTGTTGGTTTGTGGGGTGGGCTCGCCTCGCCACGTTTCCAGCGATGTAGTCGACGTGGCCCCGGCTTGCAGTTCCAGATCGCTCTATAAAAGTTTCCTAATAATCCTCATATTTATTTTACGTTTATAAATACCCTTACTGACTGAGAGCCAAAATATCTATGACGAGAAAGGTGCATAAGAATAAATTGTAAATTATTTTTTAGGGGGTTTAAACGTATTTATAATTTTATGTGAGTATTCTTATGAAAATTAACCTTTTTCCTTCTTTCCTGCTGAGACGGTTTTCCCATGCTCTTGCCGTCTGGTTATTTAACTTGGAACAACCACGCCGTCTTCCTCCGCCACCTTCCTCCGCTCCTCTCCGGGCCGATCTCCGTCGGAATCTTCTGGTCCATCCAATGTCGGTATCAGCATCAGTAGTCTCTGTCTCTCCGCGTGATTCTCCGTCCCTGTGATCGCCGTCTTTTCGGAATTTCCTCTAGATTTTCCTTGTCTTCTTGCTCGTGCATGGTTTGGCCGTCGCGTTCCTGACTCAGTGGTGGTTTTTGCCTTCGTGATCGTCTGAACAATGGCTCTGGTTTTCTGTGAGGCATCTCTGGTTTGAAGTTTTTCCGGTCAGTCTCTCTTTGCAATATTTTTCAATTTGATTGCGGCGGGGTTGGGATGTTTAGTTCTCCCGGTTTCGTTGAAGCATCCACTGATTCGAGGTTTGATGTTTCATTTTTGTTTTTTCCCGCTTAGTTGCCTATCTTCGGTCTTGGTTTTTTTTCTTTTTTGGTTGAAAATTTCGTTACATTAACTCTTTCCGGATGTCTTCTGCGTTTTTTTTGGTATGTACAGTTTGGGCCTCCATGCGGACCCGGCAGAACAGTTTCGTGGCCTTCTTGCTGCTTGTGCATGTCCTTCTCCCTCTGGTTCTGCATACCTCTGCCACGGATGGCCTCTTCAGGATTAATCTTAAGAGGAGGCCTCTGGATGAAAACAATCGGATTGCTGCACGGGTGACTGCCAGGGCTACTGAGTCGAGCAGGTCCTCCATACGCAAGTTTGGATACCGTGGTACAAGCAGTCTTACAGATGGTTCAGACACAGATATCGTTGCCCTGAAGAACTACATGGACGCCCAGTACTATGGGGAGATTGGCATTGGCACCCCTCCACAGAAATTCACTGTAATATTTGATACTGGCAGTTCTAACTTGTGGGTCCCCTCGGTGAAGTGCTATTTCTCGGTGAGGACAGCCTCTCTACCCCTGGCAGCGTAGTTTGATAACAAAAATGACTGTATTAGACAGAGGTTGTACGCATTGTATATAAATGGTTTCAATGAATAATTCGCTTTGGATAGATGTTCCTCCGTTTTTGTCGCTGGTGAAGATATTTCTTATTGTCTTCTGTATTTGTTTGCAGGTTGCTTGTTACGTCCACTCCAAATACAAGTCTAGCCTGTCAAGCACTTACCAGAAGAATGGTTTGATTCAGCGTCTCAACCTAGCCCTTAACGTAGTCTTCGTTTTTCTCTTGTACTATCCGATTACAGAGCTTTTCAAATTAGTCTTTGGTTTCTAATATTTATGACTAAAAAAAATGTATTTCACTGTGTGAGGTGCTTCTACGTAAATTGTGATCTATGTAGCCATCATTAGAAACAGATAAGTGTTGGTAGGTGATAAAATCTGCGCCAATCCTCTGATGCACTCTAAGTTTCTCTTAGTGTTACCTTGACAAACAAGAAAAGTGTTTCCTTGAATCATGTAGATTAAGATGAACTAAACAAGGAGATTGGTTTACTCTTTCTCCACAAATATTTTGCTTATTCCTTGCTGGTTTGGAGAACAACGGTTTCTTTAGACGGCGTTCGGTTTGTTATCAATGTTGTTTTTTATTATTATTCTGTACTTCTGTGGGCAAGTACTACAATGTGACCAATATTGTCTAAAGTCTTCCTCAATCGATGCTAACTGTGCTAATGGCTACATAAACATTTATTGCATTTTTTTTGGTGTTTACAGTTGTTTTTATTTTTGTGCTGGAACGTTGTCTGCAGGAAAGCCTGCAGAGATTCACTATGGAACTGGCGCAATATCAGGCCTCTTCAGCCAAGACTATGTTAAAGTTGGTGACCTTGTAGTTAAGAATCAGGTGAAGCTTTCTGAGATGGTGGGAGTTTCTGACAAATTATCATTGGAACATTTTTTCTGTTATTTAGCCTGTACTTCTTGTTTTTAGGTTTTCATTGAGGCTACGAGGGAACCGAGTGTAACATTTTTGGTGGGAAAATTTGATGGTATATGTGGCCTTGGGTTTCAAGAAATCTCAGTTGGCAATGTGGTCCCACTATGGTATGCCATTTCCTTTTTTTATATTAGAGTTTATTCTTTGAATTTTATCCAAAAATAGATGCCTTGCTTAAATGTTTAGATAGTTGAACATTTCTGTGGCCGAGAAGCCTGATATTTACATTAAAAAAATATGCATTGTTTACATCCAAAGATAAAGATAGTGGTTCTTTTCTTCTTTGTGCTCTCTTTAGCAGGACCCCAAAGTTAGCTTCATACGCTGGACATTGTGTGGCCAATAAGAAATTATATATTTACAAACTTATATTGACACTTCTTTCTCTTCCGACAAGAAGTAACCTTCGTTAGCTATTGCATCGTCTTATGCACCCCATCATGGCTCTTTGTTGAATCCTTGGGTCCATTATCAAAGGCAGTCTGATGAGAAGGTGACAGTAGTTGGAGCTGATGATTGAAATGATTTCGATTCTGATTTTCTATTCTAAGTATACAGACGGAAGATTGTTTTAAGTGTCTTTGGGTACTATATTGCTCATTGAATGAGGTAAACGATGATATTAGTCTCAAGATTCTTTAGTTCAACATAAAACTCAGAGCTGACAAGCACACATACGAGGTACTGAGTTATTCATCTTAGTTTATAAATGTTGAAGTTTTCAATCCCTGTGGTTCCATCATACATCTGCGACATCTTGTTCAGTTTTTTTTTTTTTTTTCATTCTCTGGAACGCATTGTGACATGTTATCGCTTGGATCCTAATTGCTTATTCTGCAGGTATAACATGATCAGCCAGGGCCTTGTGAAGGAACCTGTCTTCTCTTTCTGGTTCAATCGAAACGCTGATGATGAGGAGGGTGGTGAAATCGTATTTGGTGGGGCAGACCCTAATCACTACAAGGGAAACCACACTTACGTTCCGATTACTAGAAAAGGTTACTGGCAGGTGAAGCTCCCAATACATATCTTATCCCACATACAGCTTGACACGTTATATGTTCCTCTCCCTAATTCGATTTCAACGTTGGAACTCGTTGTTGCAGTTTGACATGGGAGATGTTCTCATTGATGGGCGTTCAAGTGGTAATCTATTAAATTAATCTCTGCAAGCTTTTAGACTCATGTGCTTTATGATTTAAATTTCAGTTCTTTGTGTTCTTCGGGTTCTGTGCATTCTTTCTGTCTCCAGGGATCTGCTCAGGTAGCTGTGCCGCCATTGCTGACTCTGGAACATCCTTAATTGCTGGACCAACTGTATGTACAACATTTAAAACTTCAGTTAATTACGTGGTCACTTTCTTTGTTTCATTATTTTAATGTGAATGAGAAGAATTCATGGGCACTAGACTGTTTAAAGGATTGATTCTTCCTCATCGTCCCTCATTGTACAGTTGGCCTGATCTATTCCACACAAAATAATTTAAATTGATTCAGTGAAATCTGCCCGATCTTGATCCACAGTGGTCAGCTCTTTTGATCATCATCATAACGCTTTTACTACAATCCGTGATTGGGTAGGATTTCAATGGTCTACCACCATCTTTTCGATATGCTGCATCACCTGATTTCGATAATATAATGGATGGTTTAAAGTACAGCAAACTTTCTATGACAATTTCATCGTAAGTTCCCATAGAAACTGTAAGGATCGATGATTACGTCTTCCTCAAATGGGATTCATCTTGGGAGCCTAAATCTGGAATATCCGGCAGTCGTCCGATTCTGTAGTGAAAATATGTCTATTTGGCTTCGACTCTGTCTAATGCGGGACTATGAGGCAACTGATATTTTTGATTGCCTTCTGAACCATTTGGGAAAATTTTCTGATCAAATTCTTCTTACGGGTTGAACTCCTCTTAAAAAAATCGACCCTTGTAACTTCTGCGAGAGTTCTCATCTCCCATTCTCTCATATCCCGACAATAACTTGCCCATTTAGGGATCCAAGTTAACGTACCGGGATGCGATAAGTTGAGCCTCTTAATTTTTTTATTCGAAAGCTATAGACAAATCTGTGCTTTCCGGTCACCTCCAAGGACGCTGATAATACGAATTCTGTGTGTGCAGGCAACAATTGCTGAGATCAACCATGCCATTGGAGCTTCTGGAATCGTCAGCCAGGAATGCAAAACGGTTGTTTCCCAATACGGGAAGACCATATTAACACTCTTGCTTTCAGAGGTATTTGTAGACTATCATCTACTTAGCTTCTAAAAAACAAGATATAGAGGACCACGATTTATTTATTGATCATGAAGAACTATTTCCAGAGGCAACCAAAGAAAATCTGCTCTCAGATTGGTCTCTGCGCCTTTGATGGCACCCGAGGTGTCAGGTGAGGATGACCCTCGGCTCATCAATTGGCTTCACTCATCTTTCTTCTCATCCTATGTTCTTTCCTTTTATTTATTTATTTATTTCCTTGTATAGCATTGGTATCGAGAGCATAGTCACTGAGAACGACGGGTCAGCCGTTGGATGGGGTGACTCCATGTGTTCTGCCTGTGAGATGGCCGTTGTATGGATCCAGAGTCAACTTAAGCAAAACCAGACTCAGGAACGCATCCTGAGCTACGTCAACGAGGTAAGCTGTTCTTGAATGGTCTTCTCGTTCAGCAGTTGTCTCTGTGCGCCGTTTCTCATGTGTGGAGCTCCATGTAGCTGTGTGATCGGCTGCCTAGCCCGATGGGGGAATCAGCCGTTGACTGCAGCCGTCTCTCATCCATGCCGAGCGTCTCTTTTACCATCGGTGGAAAAGTATTCTCTCTGAAAGCTGAGCAGGTATTTTGAGATGTCCCTCCATCTCTCTCTCTCTCTCTCCTCCCCTCCTCCCCCCTCTCTCTGGGCTCCATCTCCTCCGGGTACTCCCCTCTTCCTCCCTCCCTCTTTCTTCTCCCTTCTTCTTGCACTCTTCACCTGTTCCCTCTCCCTCCGTCCTCTCACCCTCTCGCCCATTTCCTCTCCCGCTCTTCTGGGCACGCTCCTATTCCGTCCTCTACTTCTCTCTCACACTTGCTCGTTTCTCCCCTCACACTTCAGTCATTTCTCTCTCGATCGTGCTGTGTGGACGTGTGATTGGATGGCTCTCTTCTCCTCTTCTCGCTCTCGCTCTCGCTCTCCCCCTCCCCCGCCCTGCTAATCACCAGTTGTTCTTCTCGACGAGTAAATATTCTCCACCCCCCAAATAAGGACGCATGCTTTACATGGGCTTTGGGGGATCTCATGCCTTGATCTTCCACAGAACGACAGAACCTTCTGTTGTCACTCTGATGCTCTTCTTATTGTTTTTTCTTTCGTGGATCAGTACATCCTCAAGGTCGGCGATGGGCCTGCCACACAGTGCATAAGTGGATTTACCGCTCTGGATGTCCCCCCTCCTCGTGGTCCTCTCTGGTAATTTCTTCTCTCTCTCTCTTTCTCTCTCATCTCCTGGTCATCTTCTCTCCTTGGCCGCTTGAGAGGGCAGCCTCAATGAATGGTGTTTAGAGATTTCAGAACCCATTTTACGGCCTCTCGTCCGAATGGTAGTTCTGACTTCAGAATCCTCCTGTTCTTATCCTAAACTATATTATGTACGTATTTTTTCTTTTTTTATTACCATTTCGTACATTTCTCCATGCTTTCTTCAATAATCATCAAACTTCAAGTGTTATTTTTTACTATGTTGAAATATTATGACGTATTATCGGTTAGGCAGTCTATCTCCATAAAATGGCAAACCTTTATTTGGATATTTTTTTGAAGAAAAAGCTTTCCTGCGTGGTAATGTTTCATTATTGGCGGTTTTCTCTCTCTAGATTACTAATTCTTTCGTCGCAAGTATTTTCGGAGCGACTTCTGGTTGTTACCAATGATCTTCCGTCTCCATATTAATTTTAATTTTATTTGAGATCGACAGGATATTGGGCGATGTGTTCATGGGAGCCTACCACACCGTCTTCGACTACGGTAACATGAGGGTGGGCTTTGCCCAGGCTGCATAGAACCCCTCCTTCCCTTCTTTGTGCATGCTCAACTGACAGGCCCGTTTCTCTCTCTCTCTCTCTCGCTATCTATCTGTCTATCTATCTATCTATCTATCTCTCTCTCTGCCTTCATCTTCTCTATTGTGGTATGAGTAATATGGTGTTCTAGGTTTGGGATCATGGCTGGCCTACCCGGCTCGGAGTATCATGGTCGCCTTAGGTTACTAAAGCCCTAAACCTGGGTTTTCCCCAGTTTGAGCTTCAAAATCGAAGTTTGTGAAGAAAATGGGTCCGTTCTGGTTTTCAACAGGTTCTTATCTCCTCTCTCTCTCTCTCTCTCTCTCTCTCTCTCTCTCTCTCTCACACACACACACACACACACACACACACACACACACACACACACACACACACACACACGCGGGTCCGTTCTGGTTTCAACAGGCTCTTATCTCGTGACTCTCTCTCTCTCTCTCTCTCACCATATGAGCAGAAACACACAGAAACACACACACACACACACAGAAACAAACAATGGGTCACCCTATGAGCAGCCATGTCTTGGATCCAGCAGCAAGCTCTCCAAGGGTCTATGCTGTCCATTGAGATCCCAATTTTATCAGGAAATCCCTTCCCTTCCCTTCTAGGCTCTGCTTTAATGACAGATCTCCCAAATCTCTCATTGGATTTCATTCACCATATGATCTCAAAAAAGGCGTCTAGGTTCTTACTTGAGTCAGCTGTGGGCTCTGAACTTCTTCACGCCTACTCAATTCACTGAGATAAAACAAACAATTACTGTTCTCACTAATTCATGCTCTTGATCTCCTTCCACTCTCTCTTGGGTACCCGGCCTATCGTTTGATGCCTGATACCTGGGGGGGGGCTGGCTATGGAGTTGCAACCAGTTCATCTTGTGGTCTTTGACTAATTCAGGAAATAAACCTACCTCTCAATTGGCCTCCTCTTGATTACATCCGAGTCTTATGCTATGCTGTGTACCATATGATGAGAAACATAGAGAACAGCTTATTTAGGAAATAATGGTGCCCCTTGAGTCTCACATTATTAGGTTTTTGGAGTTCATGTCTAATGCCTCTGATCACATCAAGTCTCATACTTTACTATCCATGGGGCCATAGAGTCCTTTTATCAGGACTTCACCATCTTCCCAAATGGTCACTCATACATAGACTCTACACATCAGGTACAAAAAAATATCAAGTTCTTACTTAATGGGGGGTTGGGGGGGTGTGTGTGTGTTCAGACTTGTGGATCTCTGATAAATTCTTGATCTACTACTTTGAGGGCGTAGTCTTCTGAGTTCATCTGCTCCAGCATCTTAAGGACCTCGGACATGGATGGCCTCTTGGAGGGGTCCGTCTCCAGGCACCTCTCTGCAATGCAGAACATGGTGATGGTCTCTTCCAGAGGGTAGCAGACCAAGCTGCCGTCTACTGCATGATCGATGCACTTGCTGTTAGCCACTTCTTTCACCTGTTGGAGGGCCCGAAACCATTGCTTAGATAGATGCTCATTGGATGATGAAATATTAGAACTCGCCACAAAATCATGTGAGATGGTTGGTCCCCATGAAAGGGCGTCGATTGAAGGGTTTTATGAGGAGCTTTGAACATGAAATATATAACATGGTATGGGTCTGAATTCGTCAGCAATCATGTGGGATGATGATGATCATGATGAAGAGAAGGACACAAGTACCAAGAGGGAAATTGAATTCCATGGGACGGAATTTATTCTATATGAGTATTTTCCCCACTTATTGCTAGAAAAGGAAATCTTAAAATAAACAAAAAAAAATGTGTTGTTGGGGTTTTAGATTGTTCTTTGGATGATACCATATACATTCAACCTAGGCTAGAATTTAGGGAAAAATAAAAATCTAAAGAGGGATAATCGTATGAACAGGTCCCTTTCATCACATAACTCACTCCTTCCTCCCTCCCCATCAATGGTTTCAAGATGCATTATGGAGAACATGAAGAGGAGGACAGAAGGCCCAAGACGGAAATTAAATGGAGCATACGGGAATTTCTTATTGATGTTTTTACCTATTTATGGTGTGAAGATGAACTTCGAAGATCAGAATAAGAGAAAAACATTGTCCAGGATATAATATGCCCTTCAGATGATGAAATATGTACAATCCGGTCTTGAATTTTTTGGAAAAAAAAATCAATAGTTAACTGCTTCCCCGTTTCTCCCAGCAATGGTTTTGAGATGGACTATGAATATCATGAAGAGAAGGGACTTAGTTATATGATCATTCACCACATTCATTGTTTGAAAATCACAACAGCAGTAAATATGTAATTTAATGGGTTTTGTATGTTTGTTAGACGATGAAATATACATTATTATTTTATTGTTTTTGAATTTTTTCAAATGTTAGGAGGATAATCGTCTGGTATGCAAAACTGCTCTCTCCCCCATCGATGGCCTTGAGATGAACGAGAAAAGAAATAAGAGAAGGAGAGAAGAACTAACATGGTAATTAATTGGAGCTATGAAGATTTGAGAAATTAAATTTGCATTGAATTTATGGTTTTATGATGAATTTATGGTTCTGGTATGAACTCAATCAAGAGCGCAACGACAATTAAAAAGATGCCACTGTCATCATGATTTTGGGTCCTGCCCTTGGAAGCCATGATCATGGCTATTAGTTCATCTAAAACGCAGCGAAACCCTAGAGATTTGGCCGTTTTTCTTAAAACTATATGCAAAAGACAAGGTATCAAGAATCAATATATCTAACCGAGCGTAATCAAAGCTTGTGAGGGGCGCAGTTAATTACCCAAGAAACGAGCCCGGTGCCCTCCTCGACGAAGGACTCATCCGTGGGCTTCCTCCCAGTCAAGAGCTCAAGCAGCACCACGCCAAAACTGTAGACATCCCCTTTCGTTGTTGCCCTCCCTGTCTCAAAATACTCTGCAAAATATGGATAAAGATGGAATACAACAGGAAAACTGTCAGACCCTTCAAGATAGATCATTAGATGGACAGATTGATAGATATATATCTCTATATATATTAAGACTATAGACTATATATATATATATATATATATATATATAGAGAGAGAGAGAGAGAGAGAGAGAGAGAGAGAGAGAGACGGTGTATGCTCAGGAAGAAGACGAGGTTGTTGGCTCATACCGGGCGCCAGGTAGCCAAAGGTGCCGGCCACCACGGTTGAAGCATGGGTCCGGCTGGGAGCCACCAGCGTGGCCAGCCCGAAGTCCGCTACCTTCGCCTCCATGCTCTCGTCGAGGAGGATGTTGCTGGACTTGATGTCCCTGTGGATTATGTTGGGGACACAGTCGTGGTGGAGGTACGATAGCCCCCGGGCCGTGCCTACGGCTATCTTGTGCCTCGTCGCCCAGTCCAGAGCCTTCTTCTCCTTCTCCTTCCCTGCACCATTAACACCATCAAGTCCCTATCAGCCAACGGATCACGTCAACACCTTTCATCCGGGGATCTAATCTAGACTGTCATATCCTTCTCTCTCTTTCTCTCTCTCTCTCTCTCTCTCTCTCTCTCTAAGATCCTCTTTGGTACATGGAAGGTACCGTGGAGGAGGGCGTCGAGGCTGCCGTTGGGCATGAGTTCGTAGATGAGGAGGTTGAACTGAGGAGTGGTGTAGTAGCCGTGGAGGGTGAGGATATTGCGGTGCTTGATGTCCCCCATAGCCTCCAGCTCCCGCTCGAAGCCTCGGTCCCTATCGGCGCTGCCGCGGCTGAGCCTCTTCACGGCGAAAGCGGCGGCGCCGCCATCGATCACCAGCTTGTAGACGGTGCCGTAGCCGCCAGAGCCGATGATGTCCTTGCTGGTCAGCCTCATGGTCTTCTTCAGGAAAGCCCTGGAGGGCAGCGCCTGCGCCGTCGTCAGAGACCTGAAGAGGACCAACTTGCCGCCGCTGAAACCCTCCTCGATGATCCTTCTCTTCCTCAGCCATCGTTTGTAGAGGAGCACCGAAATCACCACCTTGGAAGCCACGAAGGCAATGCAGCAGACCGTGATGTAAAAGGCCATCACCCTCCCGTTCGCCATGGCCACCTCCAGAGCTGAGCTCTTCCAGGACGTGAACGGCCGGTCTGAACGGGAGAGAGAGAAAGAAGTGGAGAGGAGGCGCCGAAGTGGGATCAATTACGAAGAAAGAGGTCGGCCAGTATTTAAGAGGTCCACAGGTACGGAGCAGGAACAAAAATCCATCTTCTAGAGAGATAGATAGACAGAGAGAGACAGAGAGGGAGACAGAGAGACAGAGAGAGAGAGAGAGAGAGAGAGAGAGAGAGAGAGAGAGAGGCTGCATGGTCCTCGTGTGTGAGGGCTGTCGTCTGCGGTCAAGGCGTGGGGATTTGTCTCTCTCACGTGATATTATCACGCCAAATTACCATGACAACACCCAACCCTTCTCAGGTTTGTCGATGGGGCCCCCGACCGGTTAATTCAATAAACGTTTGAACTTTGAAGTTAATACATACATTTCCAAGAGAAAACGCCGACCTATCCCTTTCCGGGCCGGGCCTCAATTTCTTGGGCCGGACCCAGATTTCATCTTAAGTAAAAAATGCCGGAAAAAAAGTGATTATGCTGGGCCAGACCCATAATTAACCAATACCAGGAGAAACCCATGCGACGTTGCTTATTCCAGAAGTCTTGAAAGGGCCGAGAGAGAGGGTTATTAGGGCCCGACAAGAATTACCTCAGTAACCCGGGAAAGCCCGGAAGAGATGGTTTCCTAGGGCTGGGCCTGGATTTGACCTGAAGGTATAGAAAACCTGAAAGAGATGGCTTATTTGGTTAGGACCCGATTTCGTTAGAACTCGAATAATCTTGGAATAGATCGCTTACTTGAAAACCCCAAACTGAAGGTTATCTGAGCGGGGGTGCGTGACACCTTCTCGTCACAAGCCCTTCTCCGGGCTGGGAGCAGATTTCGTGAGGAGGAAAAGGCCCGAAAGAGAAGCGTATTCGGCCCAGACAATGGATTCATCAAAAGCCAGGAAAAACCAGGAAAAGCCCGGTGGCAGCCAGCTCCAAGCACCCATTCTCCGTGGGTCAGAGGTTCTTCCAGAACCTACCCGGCCAGAGTTTGTGATTTGGCCCGGCCCGGCCCATGGGCGATAGAACTAAACTAGGCTCATTTTAATCCAATTTTCTCTATTTAGATAGCAATAATCAAACTATGTATTAACTATCGGGGGGAGGGGGAGTGAGAATATCACGGCCTTTACACAGCAACCTGCCGTACATCTGTTGAATCATGTGAAAAGTTGACCTACTTGCGGCCGCCGGGGTGTTGTCTTGGTCACGGATTGCGACACGTTTCGGGCAGCCCACTGGATGAAATCGGAGTTAACTTTCTTCGGGAGGGCGAGATTCATTGGAGCCGATCGTCGCCACGTTTATGGTCGAGTCTCGGGCTAGTTTCCTATGCTGGGTGGGAAAGGTTTACCATTTTTAGAGAGGACTTGTAAATTAAAATATATCATAAAAAAATTCGAGTGGGAAGCAGCCGTACGTGAGAGGAGAAGGAAAGAAAGAATGGGATAATAAATGAGAGATGAAGAGGGGGAGGGAGTTTACGTCCGCATGCAGGTTGGTTAGAACAGAGTGTGCAATTAGAGAATAGAGATATGAAGGAACAGACTAGGAAATAATAAAAAGCATGTTAGTTCCAAAGCAGAGAAACTCACTTGATCTGGTTTATCTACGAGTGAGAAAAAAGAAGGTATACACATCATCATATGTCCTTTGGGAAGATAAATTTTCGAGTTTTACTTGAGTTGTATCCCTCTCTACGTCTATGGATATTATGGAACCGTGAAGCGGGGACTTCCCACATTATGGTCAACGTGCGGGCGCTGCCGATGAGTTCATGGGATTCCCACGTCGTCCGCCTCCGTTCACACCGCATCCAGCAGGACACGAAGTCAACGACGCTCAGACCGTCCTCTGCCTGATCTGCCGTAGCTATTGCCGACATAACGACGAACTCGACTCCTGAACCATCTCTCTCTATCTTCTCTCTCTCTCTCTCTCTCACACACACACACACACACACACAATACGTATTCCAGTATTGTCGCTTTCAAGGGTTTCGTGGAATAACGCGCGACTACCTAGTCCATTTTTATGTAATATGGACAGAAAATTTAGGAAACTTCATAAAAAAAACTGGTCCTTCACTAAACTATTATTCCTTAACGAATGCAATGGAGCCCACATATATAGGTACTACATGATCTTACATAGATAGTGTTAGATTAGCCTAACATGCCTTTCCTGGCTTTGAGTGCAATTATAAACATGGCATTGAACCTATTGTTATTTCTGTATTTTTTTACATCAAAGTTTTGTGGAAAATAACTTAATACCCCAATCAAAATGAATTTAATAGCTTTTGAGACTCCCAATTAATAATTTAGATTAGGGTTCAGGGTTTCAAAACAAGGGTTTATAATATTGGGTGTAAAACTTAGGCTTTGTGATTTAGTATTCTTATTATCAATGTATGCTGGAAATTTGAAGCAATAATTTTCATTCAGGGCTTGTTATTAAAAAAGTATACTACTAATTCAAATTCTCGTAAACTTGGAGGTTACAGTTTTAAACCTTGGAATTAGGGCTTGATATTTTGGGTTGTCTTAACTAAGGATTGTTACAACCTTAATTCCCCAGTTGTAGGAAAGCTCATCAGTTGTTGGGATTAGGCTTTTGTTCATCCTCTCACTATCCCCATCCTCATGGAGGAAGGGTGAGTGAGTTTAAGTCAATCAGCAGCACGGCCCATCACCTTCTATTCATACTCCTTCTATTCATACTTCTATTCATATTCTACGGAATAGCCAAGCCCAACATTCTATGGTGACTTTCTAAGCAAGGTTGAACATGAAATTTTTTCTTCAACATGAAATAAGGCAAGGGTGTTCAAAGCTAGAAAATTAGTCATATTAACCTATGCTATATAGTCATATCCTCCACTCTCTCTCTCTCTCTCTCTCTCTATCTCTCTCTCTCTCTCTCTCTCTCTCTCTCTCTCATTCTTGAAATTATTTAGAAGTTTCCCTTTTATTCTATTACCTTGGTTCTCTCATGTCTCTATTACAATAGAAATATAATGTGAAATATTCTTTTGACAAAGAGTCAAGATAGGTTGAAAAGATCAACCAAATCTTATTAAGCTAAAGTTGAAGATGAGGGCAACAAATTGCTGCTCAAAAGTAGGAAGATTCTAATTTCAATAGCTTATCTACTTGCATGACCATGAATCTAATCATATTTATGGCTTTGATAAGTTACGTGGCATCATTGAATAGTGGTTACAAATGAGAGTATTTAAGATTGGCTTACTATAATAAAGAAAGTAACAACCCTTATGACTTGTTGCTACAAAGCCGAAAGCATAAGTTACAATAAGCTAAAACTTTAGGATTGAAATTTGGTGTGGAAAATAGGACTTGGCAACTCCCAATTGAGGAGATTGGTTCAATAAAGATGTAACATTTTTTAAAACTTGTATATCTTAAGGTATCCACATGAGATCTATAAGCAATAATTTTCCTTCAATTGCTTACACTAAGTATTTGCTATATTGGATCATTCATGTTGAATAATTTTTAGAAGGCAATGGACTTTTGCTTCAATAGTGGCTGGTAAGTGCTTGTGTTTACTTGAAAGTGGTTTTTAAAAATTAGCATTATTTTTTACACCTTGAAAGTATATAGTTGTACTAATATAGTTATGCTAAAGTCTAGGAAGTATATACACCTTGAAATTCTTGAGAGTTCAAAATGTCCTCAAGTAGAATGAAATTTACTCTAACTATTTTTTAGGCACGTCATTTACACCAAATGACATGATTTACACTGTTAAAAAATTGTATAAAAATAATAAAAAGTAAAGAAAAGATCATGAATATGTAAGGAACCCTTTCCTCAATCAAAAACAGAGAGGATTAGCAAAAGATTAAGATTAACGATTGAATTAAATGCAAATGAATCAAGAAAGAAAATAGATCCTCACCATTAAGCTTCCACAACAAGAAATAAAAATCATAAAGCTTTCAAAAAGCTTTAGAGTTGAACATTGAGAATGGTAACTCATTCTATATTTTTTTTTAGTGGATTTTCGTACAAGGGCTGTCTAGAGTCTTAATCTAGGGCATATTAGCACATGTTAATCTTATGTAGGCCCATATAGACATGAATCTGGAATAGAGGAGTAGGTTCTCCATTGATTTTACCCCATTGAGTTTTCATTTGGTTTAGCCTCTTAGAACTATGAATCGAGAAGAGAGGAGTAGGTTATCTTATTTGACTCTTTATAATTGTTAATTTAGGAGAATATTTAAGGATGCAATCTTGAGTTTGGTGGAGATGTTCAATCTAGTGAAGGTGGTTAAAGCCTATAATTTAGTGTGTATAGTAATAAGTATTTATTAGAAGCCAAGGAAATGATAACATACATGATACTTAGAGAGTAAAGGAGGCCAGATTACTAACCACTATAAAAATTGTGTGAAATACCATATATCACCTTTTTAAATTCTAGTAGCTAGGAGAGAATGAAGTTAGAGAAAAACCAATTCATCTCCCCCTCCCCCTCTTAGTATTGTGGTGTCATATTCCAACAAGACAACAATAGGAAAATATTATTGGAATGTTAGTTTTGCTATGAAAAGATTTAAAAGTTTAATTGATCTGAATTAAATGATCTCTCAATAATTTATGAATTAAATGATGTAATTGGTACACTCTTAAGAGTTTAATTTAGTGTACAAATTCCATGTTTAAATCACCAAACTCAAAAATGGCTAATTCAATATTGTAGATCACACTAGTTCAGATATCTATTTTAATATCTAATTTAGAATTTATTTATGATTATTTCTTAAATGTTTTACTCAAATTTCTTAATTCAGTTTTGGTGTTAATTGATGGACTGAGATAAAGTTTAATTCAATGTGTACGAAACACTTGTTAGGATCTTGAGTTTAATCTTGAATTCAAATATATTTTTGATTATGGAATTAAATGATTTAGTTA